CATTATTTTGCTTGTTTCGAAGAAATTTTCAAGCTTGTCAATCAATCAAAAGACTGACCATTAATTGAATTAAATCACCGCCGCCACCGCCACGAGGATTCTGTTCAATTATTTTGCACAGTCTAGAGTAAAACACTTCTGGAAAGGAACTATGGCTGAAATTCACATAGCAAATGAATAAATCTGAATAGGATATCGTTCAATTATTTTCTCAATTGAAACCTAGCAATTTTGTATGAAGTGATGACTGAATATTGAGTGCAAAGTGAATATCTTAGACCAGGATTATGTTTAAATATGTTGATCACTGCAAAGCTATGATTTCAGTTAGATAATTTACTGAGAATTGCAAGAAAAACTAATTATGCTAAGTAGGCTCCGTCGTTGCTGACAATGCATAGTTTGATGGTTCAGATATTGGAATTTCTAAATCAAAATTTTCAATTAGACATCATAATTTAGAAAGTATTCTAGTTATATTTTTTGCCAGAGAATTAAAAATAGCTCAACACGTCGCAAAAGCATGATTTGCCTAATTCGAGTTATAATATACATGAGCCACACAGTGCTTAAAATTAATTTGAAAATGAATCAAAAGACAATCATACCAACAGTTATGTCCTGCAAAAACAAATCATGTGAATTATACAGTTATAAGTAAGACGAGATTTTCCTAAAAATTGGTTTCCTACTGAAATCTCATGGGATTCCATCAACATCAGATAGGATGAAGATCTACGTGTGCGAGGAATCTCAACACATAGTTCAAAGTGTATGTGACAAAAGTGACGCTCAGGAATACCTGAAGGTGCATGCGTTTCCTAATTTCAGTTCGAATTGACATCAACTTAGGAAAAAAGTAGAAAACAAAGTACTTCTATTACTGGAATGTTTTAATGCCCATGAAAGTGTTTGGTAGGGCGGATGCCTCTTTATTTCAATGTTACCGCGTAGAGCGCACAGCACCCATCACAGAGCCTCGAACAAAGTTCGTTTCTATGTACAAAGCGCCACCTATAATTCGGTTGTATTTGACTCCAAGATGTGAACTAACATATATCGCTGCTTCGTAGGTGATGTCGATAGTATTCCATGAGATTCCCATAGCAAAACAGTTTTAGGAAATTTCTGTCTCATTTATATTTGAAGTCAAATCAGGCAACTATTTATATCCATATAATTATTCAAATATCATGATTTTTATCTAAAGTTTCATTTTTTGTTGTTGTGTTTGATTAAATATCCTAAATGTTAACATCGATAAACGTGCAAATTATAAAATATGAAGAATTTGAAAACAGCAGAAAGCCAATGGGAAGAGAACCTAACGAAACATGATTCCGACTAAATAACAACCTTGAAAAAATCTCATATTATTGTTTAAAAACTTCTTGACAGAAAAACAGATAAGTTGCATGACAAGTGTTATTGACGACAGGTTAAAATAGATTTCCCCCTGAGCTCTTAGAGTAAGGTTTCTAAAATACCACTATGTGGTTTATTTTCAAAATTTGATAGAAATTGTATGGTCATTTCTCAGTTCTTCCCTAGTTTGAGGTTGACTTAAACTAATACTTGATGTTCTATGAATTACTTTTTGAGCACAGAGTGTTATAAATATTCCTACCATACGGCGACTGGTTCGGTTGTGCTTGTACTGGACCTATAGCTTTTAATGGTAGTTGTTGTGTATTTGTGGACATCATTGTGACCCTAATAAATGTTGATTTGATGATCGGAATTGATTATCAAATATTTTGAAGGGAAGCTGGGATCTGAAACAACAATTATATATTAGATTTCCTACAATTCTGCTTTTTTTAAACGTGTAACAGAAGTACTGGGGAAATTTTTCAGGTTTTGTATCTTTCATCTGTAGGATTTAACAGCTAAAGATCTTTTCGAGAAATGCAGCTGGCAAATCAAGGATTTAAACATCCAAAATGAGCAAATGAATTTAAAAAAATATGCTGTGGTCTACTTAAAAATCTTCACTGATAGTATCAACGTATCTCATTAGAGCCTGGAATGGGCTATCGATTCCCAATAAATGTGGGCGCCTATGTAGTGTTGGTTCACACAGATACTATGAGTACTATGCTATGCATCCGTGAATAGGATATCGCTATGAATGCAGAGAAGATCTAAAAATATACTCATGTCTACTATCTTGCTGCATATTCCATAGGCAGACATAACTCTGCAGAGTCTTCATTCTTTAGATTATATCTATTCGATCAGTGTTGATAGATGAAATTACACAAATTTTCTTCATCCACACTTCAGCTCTTAAGTAGTTATTATCAAGAGCATTTATTGCAGAAATTAAAATCTTTCTGCGTCAAGAATTGAGGACATCTTTGTAAAACAAAAGAGAGCTACAGTCGGTTCTCCATGTGTGGTGCTATTATGAACACATCTTCATTTTGAGCAATTCTGTTTCGTTTGATTTACCAAGGACAAAAAATATCGATGTTTTTTATGTAGTCACTGAACAATCAGGGTACGAGTAACAACGTTGTTTTTAGATATCAAATTGTGAGTGAGTGTAATATTTTACATTGAAGTTTCATAAAACTCTGAAATTAGTAGCGAAATCAGATACCGCTTTTGTTCGACATAGTTGGGACCCCAGAGAAATAGACTGATCACATATTCACGAAAATATGCTTTTAAAAATGGAAACTATGTTGCACGAAAACATCTATTGATAGGTGGTCTTTTCCGCTTGTTTGACTAGGATTCGATTTGACATCTAACTATTGAGACTTTTAGGGGTTTCACCGGTTGAAACAACGCTTAGAAATAGAAGTGCTTGGAACAGAGAAGATACTCCTGATAGAAAAATACACTAGTCTTGAATACTTCTAGTAGAAAAAAGAGATCTCGACTTTTTTTTCACAGTCATACTTTTGGTTCGCCTCGTTTATGAAATGCAAAAGAGATCACTTCTAGATTGAAAATCTGCTCAGTGAATCTGTACAAGAAGAATTAATTGTGAAATACAAGTAGCAAAGAGTAACAAAAACAATTGAAGGTAAGCTGTGATGGGTCTGTTTTATTTTGTAAATAGCCATCATTTTATATTTACCTTTCACAGTCGGTTCTCGTCACCCAATAAAATTTAAAAAAGGATTGACTGTCTCTGTTTGTAATGATCAGTGAGTTACTATTTCTCTACTTTCACTGCATAAGACTGATTTTTTTCTCTAGAAAAAAGTGGAGAACGATGAGAAAGAAAGAAGGTGCGCCCAGGAAAAATAAAAGATTGAATGAGACGTAGTAGAACTGATTGTAGGAGTGACTAATGAATGATCATAAGCGAGTGTCACACGGATACATTTTCTTGAATGAGAAATGATGAAGATCAAAACGAAGAATTGTTGCTCCACAGATAGCTCCTTCTTGGATTCATGTTTGACTAGTTTGGCTTGACCGAATCTGGTCTTCTTCGACTTCAAAAATAACCACTGAATAAGAAATTTTTATACAACATGTGACACAAGGAAGACCCAAAGTATATACGTTTGAATACTATTTTTATTCATACTCTCACCCAACTTTGTCCAATTGAGCAGCAGACGTTGAGCATTCAATCCAAACTGGATTATGATTCTCGGAGCTTGCGCCATTCATAACGACTGAAACTCAAATACATGAATAGGCGGTAGTCGAACTAGTGTGACGGAGTGCATATGCTTTTCTCTCTATGTTTATGCTTACATCTATCTATGTAAAATTGCTGTGCAATTGACTCACATATATCCTGGCTTAGTTATCAATATTTTCCCTTATTGTTGTGCTACTACATATGAAACGAGGTGTTTATATTTCATTACTTGACCTTGGCAAGTATTTGATTCTGTTTATTCATAATATTCAAAAACATTTAATGCAAAACATCTTCTTTTTGTTCTGTTTTTGTGACGAGCATGAGTGATTACGTTGCTAGTGTGGCATACCTTGAGTAAATAAATATGTACACAAAGATTTTTCTTTGCACTCGACTCATAAACATTGATTTTTTTTCTTCAGTACGATTTTACGTTGAAAAAAATGCCCCTTTCAGTTGTTTGCATTACAATCATTGTTCTCCCGAAGAGAAATTTCATAATGTTTAACTACAGTTGACCAAATCTCATGAAGTTACAATACCAATTTTTCACCCAAACCTGTATGTCTAGAAAAAATGATCTTATTCAAAAAGAAATCTACCAAAAAATCAGAACATATACATGAGACTTTTGTGAAAAATTGAAATACTAGCATTAAAAACTAAGCTGTAGCATGTACAAAACTACTTGAGAATTGAAACTATGGTATGAATTCAATAGAGTTGTTAGACTTTAAACATTATTTCATAGTTCTATATAGAAGGCGAAGTCTTCAAAAATTCATCCTTTGTGCAAAAGAAGTTCAAGCTCAGATTTACATAAGCCAATTCATTTTTAGCAGAATTGTAGGTAACATTCAAGAATGTCCTTTAGAAAATGTCCTTCGATTTTGGTCCTTCGACAAAATGTCCTTTAGTGGAAATGTCCTATCTAAGAAATGTCCACCAGAAATGGTCCTTCATCATATCGTCCTTCGAAAAAATGTCCTTTATAATTAAAATGTCCTTGTAGTAAAAAGTGAAACACTTTTAATATTCATCTATGTTTTTATTCTAAGGAGTTCAAATGCATAATTTATTTCTTATTCCCAACAAAAAACGAAAGTTGATGTAATAATTGATCAACGGTAATTTTCTCATCGTCGAACCAACTGTATACTTCTTTGATTCTTCGTTCGACAGTTTTGGTTTGATTTCGTTGTTCACGAGGCTTCATTCCAGAATTTATTTGAGAAATCAAATCGTGCACAGTATGAATTTCTTTTAGAACTGAGTCAATAAAATCCAGATATTTGGATGGGTCTTGTTTACCCTCCTTTTGAATCTGTGATTATATCCTTAAAAAAACAACCCTTTTATATGGAGAGTTATAATTATGATTTTAGTTTTACATACCTTCACTGTAGTTATTAGTTCTGTCAGAAATGCTGAAAACAATCCACATGTTTGTTTGTCGCAACCATTGGGTTTCAAAGTATTTGAATATCCCATCCAACTGTTCACGTTCATGCTCATCAAGTCCTTCAAGAAGGTGATCGAATAATAATGAAACATGTTCATGAGGTACTAAAGCCAAAGCCATCAATTGTCGAATAACACTCCGCATTCTAATATCTTCGAGGTAAGCTGTTGATAAACTATTTGATTGAACTTTTCTATAAATTGCTTGGCAAAAACGGAAAAAACAACCTTTTTGAATGTTTTTTTCCGTAAACTTAAATAAGAAAGATATTTTTGTAATGTAAAACATACACAAAATTATAAGAATACTGTACATCAAGCGCAATCGCTCGGGTAACACCCGGTTCAAAATCGGTCATGATCAAAATTGGAGCGAATGTTTTACCAATCTTTTTCGCTTCGGAAAATAGAACATGAAATAAATAGCTATAGGTGGTCGTTTTTCGATTAGGAAGTAGTGCATACACCGCTGGTATACCTATAACAATCAAGAATTTTATCGGGATAAAATAATTCAAAATTTTTGAAATTTAATAAAATTGATATAGCTTACATGTATCATGGTGAATAACTTGAATTATATAAACCTGTTCGAAATTTTGTGGGGTAGTGGAGAAAGTCCCATCCATATATAGTTTTTCACTATCGAACAATAATTTGAATTGCATATCCGATGACCAAACAAGAATTCTTCCTTCAGGTTGTGTACATAATGATTGACCAATTTGAAATTGTGGATCATGACTATCATGCAATAACAAACGATTACCATTGAGATCTTTTTTGTATGCATCCGGAATGTTGAACGTATCTGTCTTTGGAAGTGGTGGCATCACTTGTCGACGATTATGTACTAAATTATGACCTAAAGGAAATGCATATGTCAATGTTAATTTTTTCTAAGTTATTAATATCATACCAAGATTAAGAATATTTGGTAAAACTGCAAGAGCTTCACCACTCAGTAAACCTTTTCGTACTTCTTGTTCAGCGATTTCCTGTAGAGGTAATAATTCTCGTTCAGCTCGTTGTCGCATTCGTTCTCTTAGAGTTCGAACCTCTAATGCAGCTGGATTTGGTAAATGCGAATGATCGAACATGTTACCAGAAAAACGTAAAAATTCATCGTTAAGATTTGTATGTAATAAAACACCACAGTCCCGATTAGCACATCGCCAAAATTTAATTGTCTTAGTTTTATTGTAGTTCTTCATTTGAAAATCATAACCGTTGACTGTTAACATTGTTTTTCGTTTGTTTGTTATTGTTTTACGGATTGTAATTTTAGTTGACGGTGGTGATGGTGATGATGATGATGATGATGATGATGAGAATAAAGAACATGATGATGATGAAGTTTCATCAATTAATGCACATACATTCGGCTCCATTTAAAAATAATTGTGTTTATTATTTCGAATCCTTACGTATAGACACAGTCAGTTATGTAACGATGACCAATGGTCGTTGATCTTTTCATTCTTAGCCATAAGTAAGTAACTTCACCATTCATAACTTTATCCTTTAATCGACATCAATGTATTTGAATTGCAGCGTCATCTGTCTATTGAATCCATCAAACATCTTGAGGATGAGGGCAATGAAAATTTTTACGAAAGAGATATTTTTTCACCGCACATTTTTCAAAAGGACAATTAGTTCGAGGGACATTTTGCAAAAGGACAATTAGTCGAGGGACATTTTTCAAAAAGACATTCAGTTCAAAGGACATTTTCTCAAGGACCAAAATCTCAAGGACATTTTTTCCAAGGACCAAAACCTGGGGACATTTTGTCAAGGACATTTTCCAAAGGACATTTATGACGTAATTCGAATTGTATAACTAAGAATAGAAGGCAGACTATAAATCATACTTAATTATTCAGTCTGAGAAAGCATAATTTCTGAGATTCTACAGAATAACCGTAAGTTTTTTAGGTTTACATGATTACTTGTAGCAAGCGAGGACTATAAAGATGAGACATCGTCTCTTTTTCTCTTGTATCGACATCAAAAACCAGCATACAATAAGAAAAAGTTGCAGAGCTCTGATGGAATTTTCTTTTTCTGAAAACTATAATCATTTTCAAAATAAAAATGGGGAAACTTCGGATTTCATCCGAGAGTTATGTGTACTGCAAAAAGTGCATGCGACATATGAGTCATTCTAGAATGTCTGAACACGAAAATTATCATGAGAAACTAGGCAATTTGATTTCTGGATGCAGTTTTTGTGCATTTTGAGACGTTTTTCAGGCGATGATTCATTAGAAAAATATGACTTAGTTCAAAACTAATATCCGATTTAGAATCAGCGTTAAAAACTAAGTCGATTTGTATATGTTGTGGATAATTCTGAGAAAAAAAGTTTTTTTTGGAAAAATCCCTGTACCCCTCCTCAGGGATGGTCTGATCAAAAATGACAATTTTTTCGATAACTCAGCCATTTCTTGACGGATCCTTCTCATCTTCGAACTCGACCTAGATATTGATGAGATAATTCTGTGCACAAAATTTATGCTCAACCGAATGTAATTGTGAAGAGTTATCGAATAAACGGACGGACGGACACACTGACCGATTCTATAGTGTACTCTTTTCTTTTTGAGTACACAAAAACCAGTCAAATATATTATCACCTGAATCAAAACGGACTTCTGATAGAATTCTGTAGTAGTCGATGACAACTTAACGTTAGATGTTGATTTTTATCGCATTAACATATTACTAAACTGAACGGTAACGCAGCTCCAACAATATTGAAAATACACAAATGAAAATTCAGTAAATACAATATTTGTATACATCCTATTTTTGAAAAGGTTACAGCACCCAGTATACCGACTGCGATTATTTTTGAATTAAAAAAATGTTTGATAAACCTTCATAATCTGATTAGAAATCGGAAACTAAATGTAATCTCAGATCAGATCGAACAAGCACGGTCGTTTACGACCATATACGGAGACAAAACGGTCATTTACGGTCGTCGTATACACAGTCCGGAGTACAATTTCCGTTTTATTCCGTATTTCTTCGTATACGGTTACGGTGATATACGACTACGACCGTAATACTGGACCATGTAAAACGCTAAAATACGATCGTTTACGGTTGTATATGGAGCGTAAACGGTCATGTACAGCCGTATACGAAGTCTGTAATCGCCGACCTGGATGAGCATCAGCATACAGTTCTTTCAGCGAGTTTTACAACAAAGAATAATGTCACTGTTGTATGTGTTTAACTGATATGTTCTTTTTTTTTGAATACTCAGGTCGAACAGTTCGGCCTGAAAACGGCCGGTTTCGGTTAGTTCCGTTGATTTTGTGAAGCAGTACTCTGGTTGGAAAATTTTCGGATTTTTTTTCCGGTGATTTCTCTTCAACTCCTGCCGGAAATCGCCGGAAGTTGGCAGGAATCCGCCGGAAAAATCCGGCCGTATTTTTGGCCGGAATATTACTTCGATGTGCCAGCAAGTTCCCATGTTTTTCTGCAGGATATGGCGACTTTCCCGCATATTTCCTGGAGTATCCTACGGGATCCAGTGGCCAAAATGCTCGACCTGGATATTAAAAAAATTAATTAAAAAATTTACTCAAGTCTTTTATTATTAAAATGAATCGATTTATTTTACAAGGAATTAAATGACTCGAGCAACAGAGATTTTTAAAGTTTCTGTTCAAAAACATTGATCCTTCTCATCCCCATCACAGCTAGTCAACATTTATAATCGATAAAATAACTGGTTTAAAAATCAACCATATTATAGTAATTTCCTTTGAATCTATTGACCGAATTGTATTGATATTTTGCGAAAAATGAATCGAATTATGTTAAAGATAAATTAATTGAGAGAATGATTTAGATAAGCCAATTCGAAAACGTTTTCTTTACAAAAACGACGTCACTGGTTCGATTTAAATTTTCACGCAGGCCGACAAATGCAGAATAAAAATTTATTATAATTAGATCAAGAATTTTTTATTAAGTCGTAATAATAGCTTCCGTATAATAGAAAAACAGTGATATACTAGAGGAAGCTGTCCATTTATGTATACAAAAAAGAGTAGATAGCTGTAGCTTTCATTTGTATGAATGGTCAAATCTTTAATATTGGCTATGAATAAGCAGTTAAAATGCTATCCGAATAAAAATGAAACATAAAGTTAACATAGAATAATCAATAGAATAGAGACCATATTAGCCATGTTATCGCGCATTATTCGGTTTTGATAACGTTTTTAATTCAACGACTATTGTATGTTGTATTGACAAATTTTATTTAACTTCAAAACGGAAATAACCTATTTTTTTCCGTTTGACTGACGCCTTATAAACGACTTGTTGACATACTAGTATTTCAAAAAAACTATTTTTGTAGGCAAATAAAGGCATAATGATTCTATTTTAGTGCATGCCAATTCCGCACTGCTTCGACTACTATTTTAAGAGCAAAGATTTAATGTGGCATAGACATTCAGAACATAGTTTAATGCATTAACAGAAAAAAAAGTCTATTATTGTTCTCGTTTACCAAAGAAAATTCTAAATTTTAGAAAAAGTAAATCGTTTAAAAATCTGATTTTTACAACTTTCGATCCTTGTCTCAGTGCATGTACATTTTGAAATGATAGCAAAAAAGATCTTAACTATTGATTTAATCGAAGAGAAGAAAATACGTCGAAAAACAAAATTATTTTTATAAAGCAACTATTTTATGTAATAAAACACATGTTATTTATACCAGGAGAGGAGACGTTCTCAGCATGAATATATCGAATGAAATGAATTTTATTTTAAGAGAAAAAGTAAAGCAATATAAATTGATCGGTTTTAACAAAATTTTCCGTGTAAGTCATTAATGGAGGATTCAAAGTTGCCCTTCTATGAATAAGTTCGAAAATGATGTTTAAACACGAATCTTTACTTTAATTTGCTGACGAGAAATATAGCATGTGTATCATTGGGTATAGAAGGAAGAAATAACAGAAAAGCATGTTCTAATAATCCACAAAAAATACTTCTGCAAACGAAAGAGAAAAGTGATACCACCATAATCAGTAAAATGATCTTGGAAAAATACTAGATGAAAAAACACTCCAACAGGGAAGATCAAAATATACGTAACAGACTTTTTTTATGATATTGATTCTATACTATTTCTCGCTGTAGGAACTAACGCCTGCATTGGTGTTTGAACTTCAAGAAAAATTTCGCGAAGACGGAAAAGATTCAGGTTGAATTTCGCGAAATAAGGAAAGAGTTGAATGAAACTAAAGTCGATATAAAAATAGTCAATGACCCTATAGACTCGTCAAATGAACCCATGGCATCATTTAACGCCAGAATGGAATCAGCAACATCAGAAAAAAAGTATTATTGGACAAGAGGGATAAAATTCAAAGAAAGATAAAGAAAGCTGAAGTCGATTATGAAGAAACAAACAAATATTATATGAAGAGCTGATAAACAAAGAAACACAACAACGAACTAAATCTGGTGGTGATCGATCGTAAGTTTCCTACTCTAGTCATATCCATGCATCACGATATTGAAATCTCTTGCTTCATGTGTTTATTTGAGTCAAAAATCACCGATGAAGCGTTTAAACAACAAAACTCAGAATAGCAAACCCACAGAAAGAAAGAAAAATAAGAATAAGTGACAATCAAATAATGTAACCAATAGAAAATCTTTTGAACGGAACTGACCATTTTTTCCTGTAGATATGTGACTTTATTCTAATTCGAACAATAATAAATTCTACAATTGTAGATAGAACTCTCCTAGTTTACGCTGAAACAGATTATTATATTAATTAGTTGTTTTTTACTTATTAATATATTTGTATTTATAATATTGTAACTAGTGAAGATAAATTTCACAGACAAGTGAATGTATTATTCAACGGAGAGCTGATACGGTGCAAATAAAATGAGAGATGAATATGAAGAATATTTAACCATTTTCATTTGCATATTGTTAGAAATATGTATTATCAAGAGGATAATTGCGATACACTGTTAAACATGCAAATGCGCCTTTTGCACATTTTCGACGAAAAGAAACAAGTTTCAAGATGGCCACGACGACTTTTAAAAGGTTTGTTGTTTAGTAGAGAAAACGAATATTTTAACGTTCTAAAATTAGCTCTTGTCTGATTGAATAGTTGTAAACAGTCTGAAATGTTTTTGTCTCGTGTCTTATCATTGATTCATATTTTTTTTGTGCTTTTAGTAGATGTCATCAGTGTTTTTAATATTAAGTACCACAAGCAAAAGCAAAGTACCCGTGGTACTTACGATTTTGAAAAAGTACTTTGTTTTGCACTTTGCTCGGAAAAACAAAATACACTGATGGTACTTTGTAAAATGAAATAGTACTTTGTTTATTTGTTAGCCATTGTTTAAAATTTCCTATCTTTCCTTTTGTTTACATATTCTTTTGTATTTATAGATGGAGCTAAGAAGTATTTATTAATTTGATTGAATGCATTATCGAAATTTCTTTTCTTTTTCTAGATATTGAATTGAACCTTGTTTTTGTAGATAACTTACTGGTTCTTATTTAATATTTAACTTTGACTCTTCTTTAATTTATATTTATTCATTTCATTGTTTTACTTGATTTATATTTATTCATTTCATAGTTTTACTTAATTTATATTTATTTATTGAATTGATTTATTTAATATATTGTAAAAAAAATTAGGTGAGTACAATAATATTATTATTTACTCTCCTTTATTTAGTATGCATGATTAGATTTATCGATTAGATTTATGATTATGACGGAACCAACAAATGCTGATAAATCATCCAGTCAAAGATTATTGGCGGTTAATATTAATATTGATAATTTTCAGAGTGAACAGATTTTAAAATGATCGATCTGATTCACCTGTTAATGATAACAAAATTTCAGATCAAGAAGAATTAGTTATTATCGATGAAGTTGAAACAGAAATTATACTGAATATATCTAATGAAAATAGAGCACTTATGTCAACAAACATGGCCATGGATCATGATTATGATATGGCAACAATAGATGCAGCAACAGTAAACGTTCATTCACCAAATAAATCATCAAAGGAAATGACGTCTCATTATTTACCTGCATGGGAAAAACAAATTTTATCATTTTATAAAACATATACATTTGATATATTTAATGTTCGACGCGAGAAACTCGTTTGCTGGTTGTATAACAAAAAAGATAAAAAGGAAAATGATAGTCTTGGATGTAAACTTTGTGAAAAATATCAAAAAACATTCAACTCAAATGGAAAAATGAATTTATGGTGTACAATAGGATATAAAATAATTAAATTGTCAAAAATAAAGGAAGATAAAGAAAATGAAGTTCATAAACAAGCACAAGAACTTGAATTACAAACAGCATCTCATGCTCAACTAGGGATGCAACAAATCTTGAGTAGATTTGGTATTTGAGACCAATTCCTTCAGATTTGGATTTGGGTTTGGAATTGCATTAGATTTGTGGCTTAGATTTGGATTTGGGTTCAGATTTGAAAGTCAAGTTTGGATTTGGGTCCAGATTTGAAAGTCGAGTTTGGATTTGGGCCCAGATTTGAAAGTCAAGTTTGGATTTGGGTATCAGATTTGATACTTAGGTTTGGATTTGGATCTCGGATTTGTAGAAATTTCAGAAATAGTTTGAGATTATATGAGATTCATTTTTATTGTTAGTCCTATAACTAATGCGCCAGTCAAATATTAATTGAATAGCCCTGATATAGTTGACAGTTGTTTATGAGACTATAAGAAAATTCTTTATAATTAAAATGAGTTGGTACCAAATGTATCATAGTAGTTTTGGATGGAAATAACATCATTAAGCAAGCACAGAAGAAAGATCATCTTAAAGTAGCGAATTTATAAACAATTCGACGTGTCAGAACTATGATAATCTTAGCTGATGACTCAGTAAGTATTAATAAGAAAACATCTTGATAATCGCTTCATTTTCAAAAAACAATACTAATTATGTGTAATTTCAGTCGTACTTGATTTACAGAAAAATTAATTTTTTATGGTGAATAGTTTCTTAGTTTCTGTTTAGCGATATTCATTTACGAAGAAAGATAATTAGGATATGATGTCCATTAATTCTCTATTCAACATCCTTATTGGATAGAAGAAAATAAAAGAATTAAAATAATATTTCTCTCCATCGAAGTTAATAGGCACATTACAATTGGTTGCTTGACTTTTGTATGTATATTGTCGCTAACAGCTTGAATGCGTAATATCTGGAGTAAAATACAGCGGTCATTGTGCACTAATTACATCAAATCAAGAAAGATCTTTTCGAAAAAGGAATAACAGATGTGAAAATTCTACTACAAAAAATAGTCTGTATTGACTGTTAATTCAACCAATCCGTTCTTAATATCTCTTTTCACATTCAAATTCGTTTCGTATATAGTTCCTCTGTGATCTTCCTTACTACTTTGTATATTTGTAGATCAGATCGTCACACGTTCATCATCAAAACTCCTTCTTAAAAGCTTGATTCAAATCGTCTTCATTTAAATTTTTTAATATGAATCAAAATACTCAGCCGATAAAAAGAACCAAAAAAAATTATTTGTTAAGATCTCAAGTTTGAAAATACTTTAAACAAGTAGAAATTGATGGTGTACTTCGAGCCAAATGTGTATACGGAAGTTGTACTCAAACGTTATCAATTCCAAATTGGTCAACATCATCGTTAATTAAGCATCTACGTACTGTCCATAAAGTTGATGATTTAAAAAAGAGTTCAAATGGTCGTGTTGCGACAGGTCGAGTAATACAAAAACTACCAAAAGCGAGAAAAAAACGTCTTGATCGTTTAGCTTTAGAAGCTATCGTACATGATGGTAGAAGTTTTAATGATTTTCATAGAAGTGGATTAAAGCGGTTTTTTCAATATGCAATTCCCGGTAAGATTAATCATTTTGTTTCTGTACCCCAATCATTCAACGTAATACTGATTTTTCTACTGCTGAAATGATAAGTGCCTATTCCATATCACTTAGCTATAATCTCAATTTCCTTCTTGTGTATTTTCACTTTAATTTTGCGAAATAATCGGCATCTTAATTATTATTCGAACAAGTGAAACTAAAAAATCATTTTCACTTGCATAGTTCTCGCAAGATTTATATATGCTTACTTTATTTTTGAAGGTTATATTCCACCTCATCGCAACACCGTTCACAATAAATTACAAGAGTTATATGCTTTTCATTACAAATTAATGGTCGGAAAATTATCGAATATATCCGATATTGCAATTACAACTGACTTTTGGTCGGATAAAAAATGCAAATCTTATTTAGTATTAACTGGTCATTTCATCACCGACGATTTCAAGTCTACCTCGATGATTTTACAATTTTCAAGTTTTGATAAACGTCATTTTTCTGATTTAATTGGTAAAGAAATCGAGAAGCAATTAACTGATTTAAATATATTTCATAAAATAACTACTATTACTTGTGATAACGCACCTAATATGTTAGGATTATTTCAACATTTATCACGTGCTGATATACAGCATATTCCGTGTATGGCACACCTTCTTCATTTAATAGTATGCAATGGTCTGGGTATTTGGGAAACAACACAGAATTACTGTAATGAAGGCTCTATTGAATCCATCAATAACAAAAATGAAGACGATTTTGATGAACGTCTTAGTCAATCTGTAAGGACAATGGATATTAGGGATGTTGATAGTATACAAGTACAACCTGATAATGAAAATCAACCAACTAAAGAAGAAGAAGAAACAGAATCTGGTGATGAAGTAAGCATCATTTATTTAAAAACGAAATCTGAATTAAGAAAGATTATTTCCTCATTGAGCATTTAAGCTTTGAAAAATCTAATCTGGTAAATTTTATATAAAATGCTCATCATCATGGTTGTATGAGACATAGGTGTCATGTTTCCATTTATTTTAACTTATAATTTCTTCTCATAATTTATATTTTTGCATAAATGCAGTTGATTATCATCTAAATTTAGAGTAAAAAATAACTGATGACAATTTATATTTGTTTTAATGTAACTTTTCTTCATAACATATATATACTTTGAATACTAACAATATCTAATTTAATATATTTTTTTTATATAACTTGCTTTTAAATAATCTATAATTTATTAAATAATAGATTAAATGAATAATAAAATGAAAGTATTTTATCTCTTTTTGATATTGAAGACTAACCATAGAAACAAGGGGAGGCACGCATAAATGTGGGTTGAAAATAAAATCGTGAAAGAACGAATGTGAACTTATTTCAAATAGGTGCAAGTTTCCAGACAAATGTATTATACGCGTTGAGAATCTGATGTGGTTTATAATGAGCATGTTCAGGTATATCTTTTTAGGAATTTGCTCTCGTTCAATATTCAAGTAATTGCAGGCTTCCACTATTTCATTTCCTGACTTATCTTCAATGTCAACATAAATTAGAAAATTTCATTTTATTTATAAATTGAAATATTTTTGATAAGTGATAAATCATTTCGAAATAAGCTATATTTAAAACAAATATAACTTGATAATGTGTATTAATGCTTAAATATAAATTAAAAAAGATTTATACTCAAACAAGTATAAATTGTCATAAAGCATTATTTGCCTTTTATATTAGTGATAAAATCAATTCTATTTATTTAAAAGTGTACACTACGAGAAGAAACTATTTATTTTAATTTAATTTGGTCGTAAAGTAGCTCGAAAACAAATATCAATTGAGACCTGCGTTCTAATCGGAGTAAGAATCATCAAAGAATTCGAATAAGAGCGATTTGAAAAATTTTCAAATTTTCGTCTTGAAAATTCATTTGTTTCTTTTTTTTATAACCGTTTCGTAATGTTTTTATTCTTTTCTGATTTAGATCATTGACGAAGAAGCAGTACCTGATGATAAAGAAGAATCTGAATTGATAACAAGCAACTCGACCGATGCCAATGATGTTGAAACAGATGAAATCGAAGACAATTTTCAAGTTGGATTAATCACAAGTGAAGATGACGATCAAGAAGAAGTAGCAACTACTACTAAACGAGAAGTTGGTCGTGCTTTGCAAAGTAAGAACAACTAAAATCGGATAAATCAAAGATTTCCTTCAAAATGCAATCGTAACAAATTAATAGCGATAAGAAACATCTCATTCTATGTTATACTATTATAACTCATTGCGCCGGAGCAAAGAATATTGTTTTCTTGTGTATCTCGTGAGATGGCTGAAGATACAAGACAATTGATAGTGAGAATTTTATCGTATTGATTTCAAAATTTATAACTCTGTAGCAGGACAAATGCCTTTTTCAGTCGAACCATATAAAAATACTGATGGTTTACGAATAGTCAGCAGTTAATTTTGATTTGACACCAACTGAAACTCCTATTTTTCTCATCCTGAATGAATGATTAGTTTTTGCATTTTGAGTGAATCATACTTGATTAGTTTTCTAATTTTTCTAGAATGCCGTCAATTGATTTCTACAATAAAAAATTCCAATGTCTTTCAATTATTTCTGAAAGATTTGATAATTGAATTTAACAATACAAATGAATCAAAAATAAACCGTTCACTTCAACTCGACGTGAAATCCCGATGGAATTCAACGCATTATATGCTCGAAGCGTTCGTAATATTTCGTCCAATCATCGATAGTTTATTTAAAAATATTCGTAAAATGAATTTGTCAAAAAAACAAACAAATAGTTTGTTAAAATTAGAAATATCTAATACTTGTTGGGATGTTGTTGAACAATTACTAAAAGTTTTAGAACCATTTCGTAATGCAATAGAACATATAAGCGGAACTCAATATCCCACAGTAGGATTAACACTGTTTGTTTTTCGTAAAATTCAACATCATTTTTTGGAATTATCTCGACCTGATGATACTGAATTGCTGAAAAATATGAAGGAAGTTCTTCATGATAAATTAATACATTATATCAATATATACAATGAAGGTTTTAAAACTTTGATGGTAAGTGCACCATTCATAGTAAATAATCAACTAATAAGTGAGAAATTTCACTTAATATTCTTCTTTTATGTTAATGAAAACTGTAAAATTTTTAATATATATCAAAAACTAATAATTAAACAAATAGATGACATCTATAACATACATTTTTTTATAGGTACATGCTTATTTCGATCCTTATGGCTTTTCTGTATTGAGTCAAAAAGAAATTGGTTCAATCGAGCGCCATCTAAAAAATTCAATTCGTCCATTACCTGGTGAACAACAACCATCCACAAAAATGTCATCAACACGAAAATTAACACCACTGGATAAATTTCTGAATTCGATTGATAGTGATAATAATTGTGAACCATCTTCAGTGAATAAACCACCAGCATATTTTTTAGCGGAAGAAACAAAACGTTATCGTCAATTAGCAACACGTTTTATTTCTGATGTCAGTGAAGACAAAAGCGCTTTGTTCTTCTGGAAATGTAATAAGCATTTATTACCTGGTCTATCAACGTTAGCGAGAAAATATCTTGCTACTCCAGCTACAAGTGTTCCTTCAGAAAGTGCTTTTAGTAAAAGCGCATATTATGGTCGAAAGGAGCGTACGAATTTAAATGGTGATAGTTTTTGCCAATCGGTATTTCTAAAGGATAAATTAGTTTCAGAACAATAATTGATTATGTCAATTTGTGTTCCACAAAATCAACAGAACAGATATTTATTTACCGTCTATGACATTATTTTTATGGTATTCGTTTTTTTTTCATTTTCTATTTTTCCTTCACTCTAAAAAGTATTGTATTTAAAGCATTTAAGCGTGCTTCGACGCTCTTTTAAATGTCTGCATCTGCAACCATTTTGTGGAATTTTCGTAAAGAAACAATGTTTTTAGAGTGTTGGTTGTTGTTATGACTTTTTTATTTTCTTTGTACTTGTCATTGGATATTTTTCTTCTTGATGTTGAAGATATTTGCTTTTGGCATAGGATAGATGATACAACAAAAACAACATAATAAACTGGATTTATTACTTTCAACTTTAACTAGCTTCTTTCCGGTCTTCAATAAAATAATTTTTTGCCTATGAATCTAAAGGTTATTTCTAGTCGTAGAAAGCTACAGTAGACGTATGACAACCTTATTGATCGCATAGTCTTTCTTTTTGATAGTACGCAGTTTAATGATTAGAGCGTGTACAAAAAAGCATACTTCATTGCACAGCTTGAGAACTTTCAATTAAACTAAATATAATATTTCCCGCATCACAACTCGATTTTGATCATTCAATAGATGGTAATTTACCAGGAGTATGTATTTATGCATAAATTCAAGGCATTTGTAGTTCTAAAATATTCGAAAAAGCACTCTGAACGAACGCTACACTTATAAAATGATTCTCCAACAGTCAAGAAATATCAACTACTTTCGATATCTGCAACTATAAATAAAGTGATACAGAATTTATAGGACTAAGATGGGTGTATTGTTGATGATATTTAATCTTACCAAATCCAAAGGATTTGAGTCAGCGAAGTCCAAATCCAAACCCAATTCAAATATTAGCTATCAAACCCAAACCCAAATCCAAATATAGTTATCAAGCCCAAACCCAAATCCAAATATAGTTATCAAATCCGAATCCAAATCCAAGCATCAGCTATCAAACCCAAGTCCAAATCCAAACATAGTTACCAAACCCAAGCCCAAATCCAAATCAAATCCAAACCTAAATTCAAATCCAAACCTCAAGATACCAAACCCCAAATCTTTGGATTTGTTGCATCCCTATGCTCAACCTACTTGGATAACAACACAAATAAAAGAAAGAAATAGACATGAAGTTGCCATACAAAATGTAATTCTTTCTGCTGTTTATGTTTGTCAACAGGATCAATCTCTCAACTCGTTTGAGAAATTATGTAAACATTGATTGAAGCTCTTGGTGTCAAATTATTATCAGCAGAAATAGGTGGTGTATGTTATCGTAATGACAACGTTGCTCTCGAATTCTTACGTCATGTTGCTTCGTATTTGCATGAAGAAATTCTTGAGAAGATAAAAAATAGTCCATCTATAAGTAAAAACTGATAAAAAACTTAACCATGATTTTCTTAACTATTTTAGGTTGGATGCTTGATGAAAGTACATCCCGCACCGTAGAAAAAAAGCTTGATAATTTATGTCAGATATTTTGAAAACGATGAAGCTAGAACAAGTTTTTATGGTATATTGGCTTTAGATGGTGATGGTTCGGCTGATAATATAGTAAAATGTATTGAATCGTTATGGAGAGCAGATGATTTAGATCCTGGAAAAACATGTTGGTTTGCAACAGATAACGCTGCAACTTTTACAGGTACTGTGCCTTTTTTTTGCATTATCAAATATAATTGCTGTAGGGATAAACAATGGTGTTATTGCTAAATTAAAACGTGATTTTGGTCTAGATTTCGTTGAATTAAATGCATGTACCGCACATAGTTTTGCTTTGGTTGGAAATCAAGCTGGATTTACCAAGCATGGTACGTAATATATACTTTTATTCATTAATGAAAAAAGTGTTCTATAGACAACGAAGAAAAACCTAGAAAACGTGAATTAATTTGCAAACTGGAAGGTATACTAGGAAAAATTTATCAGCATTTTGGTTCAAGTGCAACTCGAACCTTCAAGCTCAAATGTTGGCAAAATTTTTTAGAGATTCCCGAATTGAAATTTAAACGATTGTTTCAAATTCGATGGACAGCTATTCGAGATTCAATAAAACCAATCATGTTAAATATTGTACCAGGTAAACTTTTTTACAAATTGCTTTATCTTCATGTTTCCATTGTTGGGATTCTGTTGTAGGAAATCAAGCATTATTAGCAACACTTCAAGAATCCAAATTTGATAAACGTTTAACCAATAATGATCGTCAAACATCAGCTGATCTCTTAACATTGATATTAGATGATGAATTTTTATTTATGATACACTTTCATTATGATTTACACGAGTGTATATTAGGTGAGATAATTTTTATTGTTTCTTGGGATTATTTTATTTCAATTAAAGGAGATTTAACAAAAATTCTTCAGAACGATGATTTACCATATTTTACATTTATGAACATATTAAATGAAAAAAAACTATTTTAAACAACTGGTTGTCGCAAAAGAAAGAAACACAACCTGTTCCGGGTCCATCCTTAACTGAATATGTCAACCACATGAAGAACAGCAACTCTTATAGTGCTTTTTCAATTACTGCAACTGATCGTTTAAAAATGTATAATGAATGTTTTACTCATTTTAGCCAATTATTATTAGAAATCGGTCAGAGATTTAAACCGTCAAAAGTTCAACAATCACTTGTTGTTTTATTCGAACCCGACTATCTGATTCAAAACAAAGATCAAATTTCTAAACCTAATTATGGTCGCCAAGAAATTGAATATCTTTTGAACAAATATAAAAATCTTTCTGATTTTAATATGTTTCAATGTCGTAGTGAATGGGAAATCATAAAAATATCATTAAGTGAATTTGTATCAAATAATCAACAGCAAAATTCGAGAAGAAAATTCTGGAAATCATTTATGATTATGGAAAGAAGCTACCGATGACTCATTTCGAGGACGGTTCAAAAATGTTTTAACACTGTTATCGATTTATATAATATCACCAATTAATTCCTATGAACGTGAACGTGGATATTCAGTCTCCAATCGTATTCAAACAAACGGTCGTTCAAGAATGATGATCAATACTCTTGATGTGTTAATGAATATAAGATTACTTTTCCCACATGATTTACAAAGGTAAACTATTGCTTCACGTAAAAACAAAAATCAACATACTTGTTTGAAATTCTTTTTAGTGATAAATGTCGGAATATAATCGAACGAGCTTATAAGTCATGGAATGGAAGAGATAAAAATCGTCGAATTAGTCGCACAAAATTAATTGTTGATATACCTGATGACTATATTCCAGAAAAACAAGCCCGTTTCACTCATAAACAAAAACGACACGTTTCAACAAATGATGATTGTGCAATTGAATCAAAAAAACAAAAAGTTAAAGCTATTAAATGTGCCAATCGTTGTGGCAAATGTATTGCGGCTGATGATCCAACAGAAATACATGCTATTCAATGTTGTCATCAAAATGAATATTATGATTGGGTTGAAGATAACTGTTCCCGGTGGTTATGTAATACTTGTCGAATTAAATTAGGAATTTTAACTGAATCAACTACATGGTTTTGCGAAGATTGCATCGATATGCATGAAGAAGAATAACAATAGTAAATTGTACTTAATTTTTTATTTTTTGTATAGACAATACTAAAGGTTTATTCAGAAAAATGTTTATTTAAGCTAGTCAGATGAATATGTGTATTTATCTTTATCTACAAGTCTTTTGAATATTGTTTTTTTGTACTGAAACATTTTATTAATTAAAAATGGCCAATAGCATATATTTTTTCTTTGTCTTTCTTAAGTTTCTTCCTGTTGGCACTTTGGGTACTTTGCTGTTCATTACAAAGTACCACCTAGCACTTTGCCAATAGAAGCAAAGTACCTAGATGTACTGTATTTTAGATTTCTGTTAAAAACACTGGATGTCATGCATCAGTAAAACTCTAAGATTAACGCTTCTCAGGTAAAACATGATTATTAGTTGACTCTGCAATTAATTCAAAACATAAAAATGTTCGTATATTTTATTCATTATTTCAATCGAATTACTTCGTACATAGTGCAACTGAACATTTTTCAACTGAATCGATTGCGAACATTTTCTTTTCATGTTATAGTTTTATGATTACAAGAGAAGAAGGATGACATGTAAATGAATTACTCAGCGCTCATATAAAAACCATTTAGTTTTAAGGGTTATATTCTGTCTGTATATAAAGTAATTTTCTTTTGTCTTAAGAATTATGAAATATCCGGTGTAAAAAAAGGTCTTTTATTTATTGCGAACGAAGAACTCTGCAATCGAGAGAAAAATGTTCACAGGCAAATAATTACATTGTAAGTAGATAGGTGAAATATATGAACGTTAACTTCATTCGATAAAAGTTCAAATATATTTGAATTAATTAAAAATACTCCGCAATACAAATAGCAGACGCGCTATTCAAGCATAAACACACCCACATATATATAGTTTAGTGTATCAAGTAGTGACATCTTTTGATCGGTAAGATTAACCGAATAATAACTTCATTGGTAGAATTAATCGTCATCATTCACCTCATTCATTCTTTTCTCTCCACTTCCGATGACTTGCCTATCTACTAGTCAAGAGCCAGCATATTATCTTCTCATACCGTTCTGTTCTTTTTTACGACATACTCTCTTTATATCATGTCAAAGACGCTTTCACTTGTTTTTATTGCACATAATGTTTTTTTATATCACACTATTCAATATCATCCGCAAGTATGTAGTCGTTCATCTATCAAGAATATAGACGAGTGATACTAACAGCTTTTATTTTAATATACTACTCATTTACATACATGATGATTTATACATCATCTTCAGCATTTATCACTTAAACTAATCATATCATAGAGAGAGAGAGAGAGAGAAACTCATGGTGTTTAATGATCGACAGTTGATAGCTGTGTATCTATTACATCATAAAGTTGATGAAATGAAGATGAACGATATGTTCATCTTTATTATCACTCTATTTCTCTCTAGACAGAGTATGTATTATTTCTTCCTTGTTCTATTCTGAGCAAATAAAACAACCGAACATCTTGTATGTATTTCTCATGGGTGATACAGACAAACGATTTAACAACAAAAACTTGTTTATTCTAAGATGAAAAACATGTATTTATAGGATATAAACGAGACGTATAAGTAGAGCTGCTTTTGTTTGTAGTTACAGTTGATTGCAAAAAACAATCTCGGAGCTTTGTCCTTGCATGTTAATAAAGTCAATTTATTTCGCTAATAGAGCGCGACTATAATGAAACGAATTAAACTGAACTTTGATTCTCTGTTATTTTATTTTGACTATTATTCTTTTCACAAATTCTCTCTTTCTCTTCTTGTTCTATTGAATGCATGCATACCGAGCACGAAACATATTTAGAGAGAAAACACTTCACGTGAAAAAATGTTATAAAAATTTCATTGTTCTTATCCTTTTCAGTATAAATAATAATAAAAGAAGAACATCTGTATTCTATAACATATCAAAATTATTATCTGTTTAAATTAAGAGAAGCCCGCTATGTCCATCGATACTATTCGATGGGTAATAAAAGTACTTCACCACATTTAAATAAGACTTCTTCATTAAATGGATATGAAAAAAGTCGTTTTATTCATCAAACCAATTTCACAAATAACGACGATGCCGATAATAGTTTAGACAATTCATCAAATCAAAGTTATAATGGTAAAAAATATGGTCCATCGCCTCGTTTTCGACGACGTCATTCAAAACAGATAGATCTTGATAAAAAAGGCAAAAACCCTCAGGTTAGTTGCTTTTACTCGTTCAAATTCTGAAGACTAGAATTGGATAATTGAACGTTCATGCCGAAGAGATGTTAATCAATTCATAATTTTCATCATCTCTAGACATCGAACTTTTCAGATGAATTGACATCAATTTGTTAATCAAATTTATACCGAAGGAACATGGTGGCTAGCGTTTCCGCTGATTGAAATAGCATCTTTATTTATTATATAAATGACTTGATCCTATCAACAGATTTCTAACTGCTTTTCTTTCAACTTAGTTAACATTCTGTTCATCGAATGTAGATTACACAATAGACTCTCACTGTGCAGGAAATGAAAAAAAAATATAGGAAATCCAATAAGTCACTATAAAAAAAAGCCGGATTTGAATGTTCTGCTTATGGTCTATCGGATGAATTGATTTTCTTAACAGTATTCATCCGGGAGACTTCCGACATTTCAAGTGTGTGTACAGTAAATTGAAAGATGGTCTATCGATTCGAATTCCATAGATTTACTTTTTTTCAGAAGTAACATATGGCAAGACCTAGATATGTAAAATCGTCTCGTGCTAATAAGAATACTTTTCTAAGCCAAGAAAAGAAGTTCCCTACGGGATCGAAATATCACATAATTACTCTTGTTAATCATAGGAGAATTCTTTCTGTTTTCAGACAGATTTCTGTACCACTCATTAACTTAGTCCTTGGAAAATGCCATATTAAAGCTGTACGAGTCATTCATTTACGATCGATGCAAGGTGTTATTTTTTTTATCTAACAATCTTAGACTGAATTTGACCTAATTTCCCTTCGTTATAAAAACAAAAAGAAAGTTCAATTTATAGAAGTAATTAGAATGCAAATTCTTGAATGGTAAACTTGAGAAAGATTAAAGCTCGATAGATCTGATAAGCTCTAATACAAACAAGTTAAATATGTAAGAAAACATACCAACATGTCTAGTGCTACCAACAGCAATCTGATCCGATAAAAAATAGATTTGATTAACAGAATATGCGTTATTCAGTAATCAAATCAATTAAAAATATTAGAAGATTTCTCAGTATCAGTTGCATTCAATGGTAGAAAAATATGGGTTCAACTTCTATACGAAAATAAAAGTTGGTGAATGATTTATTTTTTATTTATTTTTAATTCAAATTAATAAACTAAAAACTACTTTTAAAATTTATATCTCATGATCTAATTTTTGTATTTATTTACATTAATATTTGTATATCAAGTTAGGGAAATATCTTAAATTGTTCTTTTTTTCCAGCCAGTATCTTCATATCTAAACGTCAGTCTTCAATCAATTGGTGATCGAACAATTAGTTTATTTTCTCGTAGCTTTAATTTTCTTCAACAATCATCTTCCTCATCACCAGTATGTGAATCAAAAACCAATAGTCACGATTTACCATTAACGAATGAACATGATAGTGACCAGAATATTAGTTCACAATCAGGTGTATATCGAAATCAATCTCGCCGTAAATATCAAACATCGTCATTAAGAAATCCATATCGACGGTCAAGCACTAATTTTCCTGTTCGTGGACATGAAGCGATGTTTTTACCTGAATTTTCAATCAAAGGAAAAATTACCGAAGCAGATTTCGATGTAAAAGATAAATATTTTATTGTATTGAGGTTTAATTCATTTTTCGTCTAGGTCATTGATATTATTGCACGAGGAGCATTTGGAAATGTTATAAAAGTTTGTTCAATACATGAGAAAAAAGTTTATGCAATGAAAATTATGAGTAAATCACAAATTGTTAAAGACAATGCTGTTCAACAAGTCAAAGGTAACATTTTATCTGACGTGAAATTCTTTAATGTAGATTTATGATACTTAAAGTAGTGATCTGTGAGTTTTCGAAATCTAATCGAGAGGAGTTTTAAAGGAAATCACCATCGTCTGATAGACTGATTTGCTGAGCGATGCGATGTAGGTAGTAATTACCGATCTAGCCATACGTGATCAAACTACGATAATGGTATCGATACGTAAATGTTTCTTGGAATGAAAAATTTTGATTTCGGAAAGTTTTATGCTACCACGTTCACTAAAATATTAGTTCTCATACGTTCTGAAACAATAGAAGTTACAAAATAATCAAAGTATTAATTTTTTTTTATATATTTAGATGAAGTGACTATAGCTCAATCGTGTCTTTCACATCCATTTATTGTTCATACATATTGCTATTGGCAATCCCGTCGGTATTTATATATAATAACTGATCATGTTCAAAATGGTGAATTACTATCATTATGGTTACGTATACGTCGTTTTCCTGAGATGATTGTCAAAATTTATATAGCACAAGTAGCTATGGTACTTGATTATTTACATAGTAAAGGTATCATATATCGAGACGTTAAAATGGAAAATATTCTATTGGATGAAAAAGGAAATATTCAAATCATTGATTTTGGTTTATCAAAGTGGCTTTCATTGGGACAAAAAACAACGACCATATGTGGAACATTACAGTGTATGGAGAGAAAAATAATTTCCTTGTGATAAAAGTTCTTGATGATTATTTTTCTTTTTCATTGTTTAGATATAGCACCTGAAGTCCCTAGTGTTAGACCTTACGATCATCGTGTTGATTGGTGGAGTTTAGGTATATTAATGTATGCATGCTTATTTGGTGAATATCCTGTATCAGCTACCAAAGATCATTTATCAATGGCAAATAAAGTATTAAATCATAAATTTAATTTTCCATTAAATGAACTTGAAAATAAATCAGATATCAAAGAATTACTTTATAGTCTCTTAGAAAAAGATCCAAATCAACGTTTATGTTCCCTAGATGAATTACGCCAAACATTATTTATGTCAAATGTTAATTTTGATCGTATTTATTCGAAATCTTATTCTCCTTTATTAATTTTAATGAATGCAAAAATTGAATGGTATAATGAATTAAAACAACACTATAATTATTGTAAAAAAGAAAAAATGAATACAAATGGAAATATGTGTTATTCATTGCTATCATCACAAAACAAAATGCACTATGAAAATATTGATAATCGTTTTAGTTCAGAATGAATTCAGTTTTTGTAGATTCCTTTTAATAATTCTTTTTGTTGGCCTTGTTTTTGTATATAAAATCGAGATAAAAAGTTAATAGCTCTGTTTTTAGAAAAATTAAATATTCGTAGCTATTTGCAGAGAAGGAAAACTTGTTATAGATATGTTTAAAAAGATATTCAATCATATCGGAAATCATCGTTCTTTAAAATATTATGAATAGAAATAATATTTTTAGATTTTACCAAGAAATAATTAGGGGTGGCACTTTCACTTTCTTTTTACTTTCAGAAAGGAAAGGAAAATGATTGTAACTTTCAACTTTCCTTTTCAAAAAGAAAGGAAAGGAAAGTTGAAATTTCTTATTGTAAAAAATCATCAATCTCGGTATTATATATTGTATGTGGAATAATGGAATCATTCTATCCGCGGAGTATATCAAATGGATCTTTATTTCATGATTCTTCTCTCTCAACTTCAAATTATCTTTCTGCTATAAATATTGAATGTTGATTTCTTTGATTACTTCATCATGTTTTTTCTGTGTTCTGCTCAAATTTGAATGTGTAACATTTAGCGTGAATGTTTTACTCGGTTTTTGGGTTAAAAATTCATTTTTACAATATTTTCCAGCTAAATATTGAACAATTTTCAAATATTGATCAATAAAAGAAATTAATTGAAAACGACTTTTTCTCTTCACTACGAAATGTTTCATGTATCTAATTCAAATTCAAATTCAATATGAATAGCGAACTGTTTAACTCCTCAATGATGTATCACGTATTCACACATAACAAATATATAGCGTTCGAATGGTCCAAATGTTGTATTATATAGCGAAAAAATGATACCACATGGATATATTTATGAACACATTTCAATAGCAAGCGTGCTTTTTTCTATCCAGGGTAAGTTTGGAAAAAATATCAACAAGTATGCGACCGTTATTATTCATTATACAGACTAGATCTATTGTTTTCATACTGTCTCTGTCATAACTAGTGCAGATATAACACACAAGGGATGAGTTCCTATTCCTCTAACATATCTTCTGCGAAACCTACAAGCTCACCAGCTCGTTATTTATTGAGAAGAAATGCATCTCCAATGATGAATTCATCTCCTGTTCGAAAAGGAAAAGTTCAAAAAAAGAAGGTTAAAGCAAATATAATGAGCATCAAAGTTGATGAACAATCGTTGTTGGCCATCAATTTATAAAGGACACTACAAACTGGTACAACTGAAGTTTCCAGCTCTGATGATGAAACAATGAACGAAGATGATCAAGGTAATGATAATGATCACCAAAACACAATAACTAGCAACAATGTTAACAGTGAAGAAGGACAACGAAGGCAACGATCAGATTCCACAGCAAGTAATACAACTGAAGTAACGAAATGTGAAAAAGAAATAAAAAAGACAACAACGATGACGAAAGAAGACGTTCTTTCTCATTTCACTACAATTGATGGTAATATGAAATGTAAACTATGCAAAAATGCTCATAACGTAAGACTACCACTATTCTATCTGTTTTCTTCAAATTGCCAAGCCTTATAAGATAAAAAATGATTATCGATCATTATAAGAATCTCTAGAAAAATAATACGTGGTTCGAAGTTTTTCATTTGATACAAATAATAAAATACATGGAAATTTTTTGCAGCTCACTGTTTTTTCTTGCGTACATTATAATATTTTTAAGGTTTAATACTCGGGTATTTCAAATTCATATTATTTAGCAATAGTGAGACAAGTAAAAGTATACAATTCAGAGAATAGATATGAATAGAGGGCTTTGTTCAGCATTTACTTTATTCAAAAAAATGGATTAACGCGCAGAGTCAAACTATTTTTCGAACTAGGCTATTTGATTTATGGGCCTTGATTTTATTTTTGTAGTTTCTTCACAACAGTTGAAAGGTCAAAGAGATTCAACACAAAAGGGATTTTGTACTAAATTTTTGAGAATAAAAATTATTCTGTTGAAACAACTGACTGGCTCTTCTTCGATCACTTTCATATACATTTGCTAACTGTTCTCGAAGATGATGTTATTAAATGTAAGTGAAAACACCGAAGAGTGTGATATTAAAGATAGAAAACAAAGAGAGATTAATTATTGTACGAATGTTATATAGTATTATACATGGGATTTTAAAAAATCAGTTTTAAAAAATAATACCTTACTAAAAAAAAACAGTTTATCAGCTGTTTTCTAAGCGATATATTTTGAAAACGAAGAATTTTCTACATTGCTTTGGTAGCACATTACTCTCTTTTTCAGGTTTTTAAAGCTAATGATTCTTCGGACACAAACCTTAGACGTCATCTAGCTTATGTTCATAATCTAAATCAATTTTTATACCCATCGCAATTGCAAAATCGTAAAAGAGCATCATTGATTTCAACAAAACTCAAACAGCAATTGGACAAAGCTGCAATTGACGCGATTTCTGTAGATGGACGCTCTTTTGAAGACCTGGGGAAAGAAGGAATAACAAAATTTTTAAATTTATCTAATCCAGGGTGAGAAAAAGCAGAATTTTAAATTTTTACTTATTTTATAGGATCATTCGTTTCATTTAGATATCGGGTACCAAATCGTAAAACCATGAGACGTCAACTAGAACTATCTTATAAAAATTATCGCAAAGAATTAAAAAAGCAAATGACTTATATATCAAATATTTCACTTACTTGTGATGTATGGAAATCCTCAACTCGAGCATATTATATTTGTATTACAGGTCATTTTTATAACGAAAAGAATCAATTAGAATCTTACATCTTATGTTTTCGTCGTTTTCTTGGGAGTCATACAGCTGTTCGACTTCGCCGTTTCTTATTTAATGAGATTCAAAAACTTGGTATACACGAAAAAATGACTTCCATAACAACTGACAACAGTAAAGATATTTGCATAGCTGCATCAACCGTGGGTTTCGGAAATCTATTTTCTTGCTTATGACACGATTTGAATTTAACTATAAAAAATGGTTTATGGCTACACGATAAACCAAACAACAAGAGATAAGAAAATTGAAATCTTTTATGAGTTAACATAAAATTTAAAAATAAAAAAAGAAACTTATTCTTTTATTTAAGTCAAAATTCTTATACAATAATCAATAATTTCCCAGAGAAAGCGATTGTTCAATATAGCTTTTTACTTTAAATTTTATTTTATATCTAGGAAATTTAAAATCACAACGAATACTGAAGAAAATCAAACAAATAGTGACGATGATATATCTGTGGCTGATGTTGATATTCCCGATCAAATTTTAAATGAAATGCCTTCTGATCAAGAGATTTTATCAGCATCAATCTACGATAATGATGAAGTATTATCATCAACATCAACAGATGATGAAAATAAAAATGATTCATCAGTATCGTCAAGTGATAATAATGAAGGTGATTTATCATCATCACTAACTGATAATGAGGAAGAATTCCCATCAACGTCAACAGGTCGACGTGGTGACAATGAATCGATAACATCGTCAAATGATAGTCAGGAAGAACAGGAAACAGCGAGTGATATCAGCGACGACGATTCATCAATAACATCAACTGACAACGACGAAGGAACTCTGGATACGGTTGTTATTTACTTCGACCAAAACAAATTATTTGACGAATCTAACCGTGACCTTACTATTTTATTGTCTTATGTTCATTCATTATTAAAACGTACACGAAAACTAATCAATATGATACATAAATCTAGTGTGCTGGATCGATATGTAAAGATTCAACTAAAAGCTAAGCAACGGAATGTTAAAAATCAATTGTTAAAAACTCAACAAGAACATTACAAAGATTTTATCATTGATTTGAAAATACGTTGGAATACGACTTTCTTAATGTTGGAACGTTTTCTATCTTACTGTTCTATAATTATTAACATTACACAGCATCCATCGAATGAAATTGGTTTGAATCGAAAACAGCATACAGCTTTAACAAAATTAGCTTTCAATAGAACTGATTGGGTTTTACTTATGTCTGTAAAAAAATGTGCTGAAGTCGTTTTATGAAGCAACTAAGATCTTATCAGGTCAAAAATATAACACTACTGGTATTTCAATATATTGTAATTAACAGTCTACGAAAATATTTAACTACCACGACAAAAGACGAAGAATTATTTGATAGTATCTTGAAACAACATTTGCTACAACAATTTGATTACTACTTTGGTGATAACTTTATTACAAAGGAGCAAAATGAAGCAAGCATAGTAAGACTATTTAAGCATCCCTAATTCAGAGAAAAGAATACAATAGAAGTTTGAACATTTAACCTTGAGCATTATATATCTAAGAAGCGATGATTAGAAAAATTTTCATATTTGAAAAAGTCAAAATTTAGGAGAAAAAAACAGAAAAATTTCAAAATAGCAAAACAAAAAATCGAACCGTTTTTCCTTTTTTTTCTGATATTTCATAAAATTGATACTTTTATTACTTCTGTTTCAGATTTCTGCATTTCTCGATCCGGCACTTTATCATTATTTAATTCGTGATCCACAAGCAACACCTACGGCTGAAAAGTTGATTTTGAAATTCTACGAAAATAATCGAATTACTCCTAGATCTACCTCATCACAAACAACCAATGTAACAAATACATCACAATCTTCATCATTGAAGCAACAATCAACAACAATTAAAGAAAAAATGCATTTGTCTATACTGAACAGATTTTTCCAAACATGTGGAATAAACGAAACAGTAACAACTACGCCAATGAATATTCAATCGGTTTATTCTATAAAAGAACAAATGTCATTTTATGTAACTAAAGCTAAACAGATGCCAAATTTTCAACAGTTCTGGACTCATTTCGGTGCTGAACTACCCGATTTAGCAAGAGTAGCTAAATATTTTTCATCTATGCAAGTAACATCATATTCTAGCGAATCTTCTTTTTCAATGTCTGGATATATAAATAGAAAGAATCGTTGTAGTCTATCTTCATCAGCACTTCGTTTTTCGATGTGCTTGAAAAAACAATATGAGCAAACCAAAATGAAGATATAAAAATAAAGATCGCTACGATTTAACCTACTTTTTTTCTCCGTCATGTAAACAATGTTTGTTTTGTATTGTGTTGTTACATTCTGAAATTAAATAATAAAATTAAAAAGTTGCTTCAACAATTAAAAAAGTGATGACCAATACTGCCAAAATATCTGTTGATAGTAGTGAGACTTCAGCGACATCATCGATAGAAATTTCATTCACATTTAAAACTAACTATTCTGGTATATAATTATTAGCTATAATCACCTGACGGTTATAAATCAATCTCAGAAGCTTAATATAGGGCTAAATGAAAAGAACAGAAAAAATAGAAACGAAGCCTTTTCTAGAAAAAAAAATGAAACAGCGAAGATAAACCACGTAACAATGAGAAAATTATGTTGTGATGTTGACTATCTATCTCATAATATCTCACGTAACTAGCAGATAGGAAGTTTGTATAAATTTTCAATTTTTCCTATTTATCTCAAATCTTCACTTTCCTTTCCTTTCTTTTTGGAAAGGCAAGTAGAGAAAGTCAAGAAGCTTTCCTTTCTTTCAGAAAGGAAGTTAAGGTTTTTACTTTCCTTTCCGAAAGGAAAGTGAAAATGCCACCCCTAGTCACCATCATCTTCAAGATTGCCAAGGCCCTGTACACGTGATTTTTCAATTTTTGTGCGTTTTGGTTCCTCATTTTCTACGATCCAATCTTGATTACATCTATAACGTAGCTTGGTAAAAACTTCATGTAGTTTTGCTGTGTTATTATCTTGAACAAATAAACATAAAAATATAAACGATTTTTACTCGGTAGAACTGAGCAAAAACAATCCTCCGATAAAATTCCATATTCATATGAATCGACTGTCACGCTTATATTTTTTACTGTCGCTTAATTTTCAGCATAGTATTAAATACAGCAACCATATTATTAACTCTTTCATCAGATTATTAAATTTCACATATTCTATTCACTATCGATTCAAACACTTTTGTAGAACTCACATATATTTTTGAAGAAAAGGGCGAGTGTAGGTTTAAAAGCGAGATTTTTAAGACTTCTCACCCATTCTCATTACAGATATTAATGAGTTTAAAATTGTTCTAATTAACAGCTAGACTATAGGGTATGGGTGCATAGGCGGTGGAACGGTTTCTCTTCAGGGTACGCTCAATTTTCTAGCTAAATGAGATAGGGAAGCGGCAGGACTGCCATGACCATTCCAACTTCGGGAGGGGGCGGTATAAAAAAAACATTTTCTTCAAGATGCTTTGCTTAAGGATGTCAGGAGTACCCAAAAATTTTAAGAGACAGCAACCAGTGTTGTCAGATCCACCTGATTTCGAAACATTTTCAGGATTCTCTGCATTTTTTCCCAATTTCTTTGAGATTTTTCTCACTCTTTCAGGATTTATCCGCATTTTTTTTCAAATTTTCAGGATTTTTTCTCGTTTTTTTATTGGTTTTTCTCAATGTTTTCGGAAGTTTTTGCAATTTTTCAGAATTCTCATACATAAATTTCGGATTTTTGACCTTAACATGTGGCATCAAGGAGGGTAACTGATAAAATCGTGCTTAAGGTAGTGTTACATCCCCGTCACACCTCGATCAAGGCACCCTTGGGTAGCTGATCACGAATCAACTTCCGCTAATTTTTTCAATGTTGATTTCTTGGTAGATTTAAATCTTATAAACTTCAATGAATATCTTATCGAATTCCAGTTCGCATTGGTGATAAAAAAAATATGAACTAACTTTGCAACAATACGTCATATGTTACTGACACTGTAAGCCATCCATGAAAACTAAACAATAATGAAAGACTTAGATATAATTGAGCCTACCAAAGTCTTCAACTATTCTTGTTTGAGCTTACTCAAGTCTACCCTATTCCAAACTAGGATAGGCTCAAGCCTCGTGAGCCTACAGACTTCGCCGCCTATGTACCCAGGTCGAACATTCTGGCGACCGGATCCCGTAGGGTACTCCAGGAAATATGCGGGGAAGTCACCATATCCTGCAGAAAAACACGGGAAATCGCTGGAACATGGAAGCAGTATCCCGGTCAAAAATACGTCTGGGCTTTTCCGGCGGATTCCTGCCAACTTCCAGTGCTTTTCAGTAGGAATTGATCGGAAATCACCGGAAAAAATCCGAAAATTTTCCAACCGGAATACTGCTTCCACAGAATCAACGGAACCGGCCGTTTCCAGGCCGGACTGTTCGACCTGGGTATGGATGTTGTACATTTGATCTCTCACACCGGCACCTCCACGCCCTGACAGAAATCCAATGTGTCCCTACTGAAACATCTATTTACATAAGTCACTATGTAAAATACTTATTCTTTTCATTTTAATATCTTATGATGGATGTAATAATTCGAATCAATGATACAATCACCACCTTTTTTACCTTTAAGCAAGAATGTCTTCAATGTACGTACATCCGATAGTCAACGCCCTCTGTCCTACTTGAGAAATAGAATGTGCTATCTTAATATAATGAATATTTTTTTATAAATGTCTATTAAAGCATAGTAAGTCTAAAACAAACTAAAATCGCTAAACGAATTCAAAAAATTTAATTAATATGAGATTAGGGTTTCTACTTAGCAACACCCATGCGTCATCAAATGAACATTGAATTAGAGATCTATCGATGCATTTCAAATTAAATCCATCTTTTCAAGCTGATATTTATAGAATATGTAGTATATTCCTACTGAAAATTATTAATCATATGTATTTGTTTTCAGTCAAAATTCCTAGGTTGGTGTGACTGTATTCTGAGCTTTTTAAAACTCATTCTTTGCAACAATCCAGTACAGATGTATTTCTCTCATGATGTGATATATTTTGAACTTGCTTGTTTCTCTAATGGTTCTATTTAAATGAGATGTCGCTCATCGTAAAGCATTGGACATTAATTAACATTTACATATTTTAGCTCTAGTTAAAAGTATGACTGTTTTCTTTATGATATTTTTCTATTGAAGAAAATAGAATGCAACGTCGAGATTTATATGCCTTAAAATTCGATTTTTATGCACTACTCTGCCATGAAGGTGCATTGCAAAAGTAAATCATTTGTTTTAGATTTGCATTCCAATTACAGATTTAATTCAGCTAATAATAATGGCGAAACCTATGAAACCAATCGATTTACGAAAATTAGCGGCTAATTTTGCTAAAGAAAAGTCCAAAGAAGAACGTTATTGGCAACAAAATGATGCAAAGTTTCGTGCTGTACATCAACGTTGTACATCATACGATGAATTTCGACAAATAGTTGATGCTGCACATTTACGTCCACTTGATCGCAATGAAACATTAACATTAGAACGACGACCTGTTGGATGGAATCAACCAGCTGCTGCAAATTCTGTTTCATCATCGAACATACTAACTTCATCGGAACCGATTGTTAATCATCAAATAGCATTTTCAACACCAAAAAATGTAACCGAGTTCATGCAGCAATGGCGTCGAATTTCACCGGATATAAAACTTGATTATTTACGTCGATTAAAAACTTCAGAAAATATTTTTCTAACAGATATTCCTGCAGATCTCTTACAAGAATTACCTTTACTATATCAATCAAATGCATCATATAATGATGGTGAAATCATTTTAGATGTTCTTGTAAATTTAAGTAAATCGAAACGCTTCGAATTAGTTAAGGCTTTTTTAAATGATAAAGATAAATTTGAACTTGATCTACTGTTTTCACGTCTGTGTTCATTTGTTAATTTACGTTTTTCTGTATTTTTATTAAGAAATGTTTATTTATAATTAAAAAAAGGAGTCAATTATTAATACATAATTCATATTTATGAAAGAAAACGAAGAAGAATCGATCAGGAAGTAAATTTATTTATATTCATTATATAACTTATGGCCGTTTGCTTAAACTTATATTTGTACAGGCGATATATATTTTCTCTTGGGTCGTCTAATGAATTTCAAAATCTAGCATCTCTTTTTTCTCATCAAGATTAAAACGGCACATGATATAACTGATGAAAATTACGAATAGAACTTTATCTTGTTTAGTTCCACATTCTCAAGTACTCTGTTTTTTTCCGAGTACGGTCAGCGATGCCTGACTATTTTCTTCCTAATAATCTATGGAGCAAAAAATGAATGAAAATGGTTAAGAATCCATATCTACTATTCTATTCATAAATGCAAAAGTTTCTTCATCATGCTAAAATAATAGTCATGGCATGCATCAACACAGATAGAATCAACAGTGTCTACGAGTTAAGGAATAGGAATTTCTAATCTGTTTGGAACCGATCCGTACTAATGTAATAATTCCTCGGAACAGCGAAAATCGGCAATTATTTTCCTCATGAATGAAAGTCGATTAAAAACTATTTTGTAGATGTTGCATTCCCGAGATTAACGACGAACCCTTATTCCTCAGCCCTTGGACACGTCTCATATCTACACTATAATATTACTATGCTTTTTGTAAACTTTGAAAAATATATCCATCCTTTACTATTGAAGCATTTTAGATCTGTATCAGTAAAAAACAAAGAAAAGTAATCATAATTTCGACTATTGCTAATTTAATATAATATATTAGTCAATGTAAAATGCATATTACACGTTATAGAAAAAAATACACATGGATACGTATATACACATATTAGTGAATTGCAACTTTTTGATACAATATAACATTTGATTATACTATATGTAAATATAATGTATAAGACGTCAGTTAATTTGAAGAAACAACAACTTGCGTGCATCTTATTAAAAGCCCCTATTGTATCAAAAATTTACAATTCACTAATATATATATATATATATTTATAATCTCAAGGTTCTATAAAACAACGTATAATATATTACAATTAATTAAATAACACATTAGAAGAATACTTATTTCATAAAACTGAAATAACGCTGCTAAATATTTAAGCAAATAAATTCGACGTTGAACTTTCAATTGTTTGTTGATTTTGATTTTGATTTTTATCTATCGTCAATAATTGATTCAATAACGATGATATTTGATTAAGATCAGCATAGATTAACGATGAATCTAGAATAATAATAATAAAAAAAACTTCATAGTGGATTTTAGAAGAATATAAAATCGTTCACTTGGTTGTATTGTTTGTGGTAACTGAAAATATAGCCAATAGACTTCTGTCGAATTTGTTCGTTCACAATAAACTCTAGATGTTGTCATATTTGAGCCTGATAATAATTGAATAACACGAGATTGAAAATCATTCAAACACGATGCTATTGAACATGGATTACTGCTAATGATATTTAAATCAAATATTATTTTAATAAAATTAGATGTTTGTCGAATTTGACGATTCGATTTCATTGATGTATTATTTATATGAACAACTGAACCGTTGACTAGTGAATCTTTTTGTATCATAGATGTAAGTGCTGCTTGTAATGCTTGCCGATTATTTGTTTCGAGAAGAATCGTTTGAGAATTAAAACCATCAAATGGTGATCGAATTTGAAGACTGAAAGAGTTCACAAATATTTCTGAATATATAAATCATAGAAGATTTTATTTTTATAAATGTACAATTGAAAAATATTTACGTGAGACTTGAATATTATTAGTAGTATTTGTATTTGTATTTGTATTTTTACTTGAAGAAGTATGAGACATATAAAGTGGAATTAATGATAGAACGACAATAACAATCAAAACAAGTCCAATAGCAAAAAGACCACCTAATGTAACATATGTTTTAGTATTCGGATCGATGCGCCTATAAAAAGTGTGATAACAAAATTACAGAAATCAGGTGCTTTCTTGCGTAATTACCTCGCGTTATTTGCTTCGGGTTGCCAATTAGCACCATAACCTGCTTCTTGATACATACTAGTTTAAAAAGAGCATAACTGATTGATCGGAATATATCAGTTAAAGCACAAGGTGTTAGCGCTTAAATGAATAATCGCCCAGCGAAAGAAATATTTGAATCAGAATATTTCATTATTTATGATTGGTTATATTGTCACACTTGACTGATTTATTAAGGTAAAATGCGAAAACATACCAAAAAGAAATGTAAAAAATTATGACTATTCTGTGCAAGTCAATATAGGAACGGTATTTTGTTTTATCTTAAGATTAATCGATTTGGTAGTCTTTGACTATTCAACCACCTATGAAGGCCTGTTAAATAGATTCATCATGTGAATAGTCAGAATAATGGAGTATTTCAAATATTTTTTTGCTGCATTTAGCACACCAACTAACAAATTTACCTTATTGATTAGATTCATTTTATCAGTGACTCATATCTTCTTTTTTTATTACGCATGATTGTATAGCTTTGTAGAGATTTAATACAAGAAACATTCTACTGTTCGAGATAAATTATTCCAACAAAATTACTTAGAACACAGACTGAATCAATAACTGTTTCAATTCGTACTTTGGCACGTCAGCCTCAGCTCCTGATGAGCATAGGAACAGTATATCGAACTGTTCGGATTACAATTTTTCATTGTATCAAAAACTTGACATAAGATTTTTTCGCAGTAAATTTTCTGACTACTCGACCGATGGCTTTTGAGTACGTCAACATACAAAAGACTTTCACCGGCTAGAATTTTGATATCTATTGCATTCAATGGAATCAAGTGGAAATGATTGCTTGCAGACGCATACTTTGAGTTGAATGCAAATTTTAGTAATCCATTGAGTGGAACTCTATATCACAGTGCTCCTAGCCATTCTCATTATAGAATGAATTGACTTCCTTAGAACTTCAACTCAATTGGTATTAAATTTCCGATTTCAGGATTTTAGGTTCAACCGGTTTCAAGTATCTAATTAGTCTCTGGCATAAAACACACATAATCATAATTCTGTCTGTCATACGTTGACATGTTCATTTTTATACACTAGATTCCTTGTTTTAAAAAATGAAGAAAAGAACCGATTTATCGTACTTGCCTACCATTCTGATAATACTTGAAGTAATAAAATGTTGTTTTCATGCTGTTGAGAAAGTTCTTTCAATCATAATTATATCTTGCTTGTATTCCTATCATATTTTTGTTTTCTTGTAAACGATGAACAAATCCGATGGCTCATCGCTCACAATGATTCTATCATTACGAACATAAATTGTTTATTCGTATTAATTTCATATGAGACAAAATTTTTACTTACTCATCTTACTGATAGATCATTTATCAAAGTCTCTTTGTCCTAGCAAAGTAAAATAGAGTAGCTAGATATTAAGTTTTGTATATCGCCAAACTATCCAACAAAAATCTTTGATCATAATAGATCATCTACTGTGTGCTGGACTGATTGTTATTTTGAATAATTTCATGAAAAATTTATAAAATCATTCCCATTGAGACAGACATCTACTGATTTCAGATATATATATTTATATATTTTTTTTAAATTCGTAAAGAATCCATAATTGATTGCTCTAGAGACCTCGATTTCTACGGTTTTTAATCATTGAAATAATGGCTTCTTAGATTAGCCAATTGCATATTAGAGCGGCCTGTTTTTGGTTCCTTTCTTTACTAAGAATAAAAGCTATTGACATGCGCGCATAGTGGTCTCGTAGATCATTACCAGCAACAAAGAAAAAATAATGAGAACAGTCACGAAACCATTGACAATATTCTCGTTAGTAACACAATAGTACTATTATGATTCAGATAGTCGGCAGTAAAAATTGAATGGATGTCTCAAATATTATGTTGTTGTTTGTTTTGGCATAGAAAACTCTTTGGAACGCGAATTCGCTTGAATCTTTCTTTCCTCTATCTATTGCTAGGCTTATGTATTTTTCTAGTCCTTTTTTTTTCGTTCATGACATGTCACCAAAATCAAGAGCGGAAGAAAGCAGAAGGAAGCTGTTGTCAGTTCGATGAAAAGTTTCTTTTTATAATTCCCCTGCCGCCGTCGATTTTCTCTTAATATGTTCCTTTTTTCTCTCTTTTTTTCATTATGTCTAGCAAGAAGAACAAAATAGAACAAATAGGATAGCACAACACACAAGCATACCCGGCAGCCACGAAAAGAACAAGAGCATCGAAAAGCAAATTAGAATAGACAATACTGCTCAGTGCTTGTTATATTAGCTTTCATTTATTTATCAAAGATCGGCACTATTTTCTATGATAAATTTATATCCAGACACCGAGCAAAAAGTCAACATAAGTGCTTCGTTTAAAGTTTATTTTTCTCGAATGATTGTATCGAGAGTATGATAAAATTAGTGGCTACCAGTCGATCACACGTTTCAGTGAATACTCACCACAGCCGTACAACAAATTTCAAATGAGAATTGAGAAAAACATGAATGATCAACAGCAAAAACAACTATTCGATAATAGCACGAAATTATATTCTTTTATCGTATCACCATTGTCGTCGCCTCTATCACCAGTTCGCACACGTACCGTAATTAATGTTATTTATATATCAGGCATTGTTTTTATGATAATCGTTTTTCTTGTTCTACTCTGGATTAATTTATATAGTCAACGGTGTTGGTGCTGGCACGATACACTTCTTATACAGAGATTTAATCGTGAATGGATAATACGACGTTCAAAGACGAGAAATACTGATACGTCATTATCAAAACATCAACAACAAGGAAGATTAACTAATGATAATGAACTTCTTTCTTAAGTCAAGTTTATCAAATATTTTTATTCTGAACTGATATAACACTATCATTCGTCTATTTCGCCTCGTATTCTTCTTTCTATCTTCTCTTATTGCCATATTGAATATGATCAATATTCGATTAAGATAGACAGCTCAATGAGTTATAAGCGTGTCCGAAATTTCAATTCACAATGACAGATATGTGAGCCAGCAGTGTCCCTGTGAAGGTATTTATTGGCAAGTGCCAGTAAAATATTCACACTAGAAAATGTTGAGAATAATTAAGGATCTGTTTTGAACGAATACTCTTGTAGATTTTTGTTTTCTGTACGATGCAAAAATTCTCTTAAATTTATATTTTTATTCAACACTATTATAATACATTCGCTTATTTACATTATAAAACAATTAACAACAAGAAGAGACAAACACATAGAAACTTAACGTACTATTTTTCTTCATTTTTTGTATATAAACATGAATATTTATGTTCATAGAGTGCGAATAGATTAAAATTCACCTGAAAAGCTCTGGAATAAACAAGGAATGGTGATATTAAATAATTTATTTTTCCATAGTATTCTACATCTGTTTTCACTTTTTAAAAATAGCACTTAATTTCTTAATGAAAACTTATTGATCATCTCTAGTTTGTTTTTCCATATAATTTGAAGGATTATTCGTTTAAATTTCACTAGTATGAATAGAATGCATGATTTCAGCGATGAACAATTGAAAGTTTATCAAACATTATTATTCATTGATTTGACACTAAAATGTATAAATAAACAGTAATTAAATAATTCATCAAGATTCTATTGTTTTTTTAGTTTTTTAGAAGTTATTGACCTGAGAAATTTCATTAGAAACACATAAAATATTTAACAGTCATTAATAAAATAGTAAATGGAATGTGGAAATTATTTTCGAGAAAAATGGAGTGCAAAAGACATCCGACTTGTCACAAACAATTGATAAAGAAGCTAATCTCCATTGGTTCTAACGAGAATTAATCATCTAATTGTTTGTTGATGACATACTGTTGTGCGCGTACGAACTAAGATTTTATGACTTTTTTTCTATTACAAATTGTAAGCACAGATATTTTGTCAATGGATAATAATGGTTGACAAAAAAAGAAATTGTATGCAACAATGAACACATCACTAAATTGAATTATGTATTAAATCTATCAAAATGTCCAAACTTGAAATTGATATACATAGGATAATCTAGGCGACGGATCATTTATCCGAATATACAAATGATTGTCATCAAGTTCGGGCGTTCATAAAGCAGTTATTATATGAATTCAATCCATGATTTGTTATGCATATGCGTTTCATTATCACTTTAAAATGTTTGAATAAATTTCTCACCAGCACAAAAACGTGTATGTCATCTTGTGTCTAATCGAGTTGGTGATGTCTGGATAAAATTCAAATTCAAAATTTAGCAATGACTTCCGTTTTTGCAGGGAATATATGAATTTCAATTAGGGCATGGCGCGAACTGAAGTACTACTTTGTTGAATGTGCAATAGAGGGCATGTTTCTCTAAGAAGCATGCAAGCAAATGAAAAAGAAAATAACCGGATGTGCATTCTATCCTGACCCCTTTCAAAGTCGCTCAACGACAAAATAAAAAAATTAAATTCCCAGAAAATCTTGCTGTGAATGAAAACAATATTCATGCATTGAGAGAATGATTAATTGATTTTGTTGTTCGTGATATTTTTTAATAAGACTACTTTTCCGATGAACAGCTATCCTTGAATGGCGCTCATACTTGAAAAGATAGCTTTCGAGTTCCATAGAATTTTAATCAGCGTTCATTTTAATTATTTATTCTATACGAACGAGATCATAATGCATGAATTGTGAATTATAGATTAGAAATGAAGCGTATTATTTCTGCTCGATCATGTTTACACTCGCGTAATAAGAAAAAAGATCGCATTGGAGCATATTTCTTGTGAAAATTTAGAAAAAAAAGTTTTGCTTGTTAGTATGGCAAGAGATGATGAATAAGAAAGTAAGTGTTAATTTGCCATCAGTTTTTACATTAACATAGAATTCGTCGTTTTTACTATTTGTAATAAAATATTTTCTTCTGACGCAGTTTTGTTTTGATGAACTAAGATCATCTTCATGCAATAGAAACATTTTGCTGGCTACTACCTCGAGTAAGCCACTTTAGAATAATTTATTTTCTTTTGATTTAAAATATTCCTCAAGTTAGCAAAGCCTTTAAGAAGATTTGGCAGGTTGTTATTCTTTTTTATTAACTACTTTTTAAGAAATGAAAATCCGTATAAATTCAAAAAGCTTTTTATGGAACTTGAATTATTGTTACTAGAGATGCAACTATATTTAGAATATACGGTTTATATTGAACACAGCATACTTCAATATTTATCCGATAAATTGTTAACGAAAGATAAATGTTCATATGAATCATAATTTTATTCATATAGAAATGACTTGAGTGTAAAACGTTACCAGAAAAAAAGTTTATATTCTTCATTATCACATTAGAATAGACGTTTTGTGTATTTTATTTGAAGTCGTAAATATATGACGGACTTAAAACTAAACATGACTTTATCAATTCTTGGTGAAGATATATTAATTGAATTATGATATTTTATTTTTCTTGTCGTGCACTTACATGGACTGATTACTTTGATCTAAGTGGCATTGATAAATACTACTATTGACATGGTCCATTTACAGAATGCTTTTCACAAAAAAAAAAACTGCAAAAGCAACATTTCTCCTGACAAATTGGTTCACCGCTCTAGACACACTTGTAGTTAGTAATATGAAGTAAAAACAGAAAAACATCTTTTTTTACTGTTATTTTGTTTTCCCTATAATTTTATAAAATAATAACATCTTCGTGGTTGAAACTTACTTCGAACTAATAGCAAATGACGAAGTATATAACAAATTTGAAGTAAACTTGTAACAAGAAAGGCATAGAAAATTGTACCTTCTCGTATGACTTTTCTCTCTCGAAATGATATTCTTATTATAGAACTGGATGATTTTTGTTAAGGTGTACTTTCACTTCTTTATTAGCAGGTTCAATAACATACACTTTAACAATAACAATACAAGCACTGAACCAATAGCAGAGACAGATGTACTCGTATTCAATTCAATTATCTTCAATGAGATAAAGAATAAATAATAAGCGTGGAGGACAAGAGGAGAAAGAAAGATAGTGCTATCGAGGTAGATGATGCTAATGATCTGTGTGTGCATACACAGATCATAACAATCTTAAAACAAAAGCATCATAAATGATCCTCTATCGTACAAAGAGAATGCAGAGTAACAATTTTTACACGATCCTGGATGTAGAAGAGCTAATTTCAAACTGAAGCCAGCCTCCATGACAAGCGTTAAACGATGTATCATTCTCTCAAACTAATAATTTCTCCAAGCATCATTTATGATAAGTAGATAGTGAGATTTATACAAATAAAATAACTGTGGACATTCAGTCAATGGCCTACAAGATCAACTTGTATGCCATTTAGAATGAATTAGTTTCACTGCGCGTATCCAAAGGGATATCAGATTGAGATTTTTTTAATAGAAAATAGTCCAATGAGAATAAATTCTTAGTCTGTAAAGCAGAGACTGGATACTGAGTACAATTACTCAGTATTTTCGTACTTTTTACTTAAAAATCGTAAGTACAAAGTATACGTTAGAAGTACAAGTAAATTTACTTGTACTTCTCGAATGTACTTAACTACCGATACTTAGTACAAGTTTACTTAAGTACAAGTACCAAGTACCCAGGTCGAACTCACTCCATCGGATCCGATGGGAATGCGTCGGAATCCTTGGTATTGGATTCCGACAGGAAGTTGTCGGATGCCGGAAAGTGTCGGATTTTTAGGGTTCCGACAGGATCCGGGTCATTCAGGCATTTCCCGACATCCGACAACTTCCTGTCGGAACCCAATACCAAGGATTCCGCCAATTCCCGACGAATTCTCATCGGATCCGATAATTTTCCGCTAGGATCCGACTATCGGATTGTTCGTCCTGGGTACTGATGCCTCCATGATCATATAAATGTTTCAAATGTACTTAGTAATTTTACTTAAGTACATTTGTACTTAAGTACCGGTACTCGGTACAAATGTACTTAAGTAATTGCACTTGAGTAAAAGTCCAAAGTACAATTAGTAAGTAACAAGTATTTTCACTTGTATTGCTGTACTTGTACTTGTCCAGTCTCTGGTGTGTAGGAGCTAAACTATTATTTCTTTGATTTTGCTGTTCTACACATTATGGATTAGAAGTAGATTATCATCGTATAAAGAAAAACATAAATCAATCTTTAACAAAATAAAACAACTTTCGATGAGAATCAGATGTTAAATTTTTTTCCAATTAGACCAAGTCCTAATATCTATCGTGGTACAATAGTGTTTTAGTGATATCATTATTTATATCATCTAGAAATTATTTACACATTTTTATTTTTGTATTCGTCAGACTATATTGTTTTCGAACTTCTAGCAGAGCAATAGTTTTGACCTGCAATCAACAATTCGAGTTCACTACCTTTTGTAATAGCCTTCGTTGTCAACTTATCGCTTATTGTTCGCAGAAGAAAACATTAAGCCAAACCGATTAGAAAATTCTGAAAGTGTTGATAGTGAAATGTCAAATATTACTGACAATGCTCTCTTAACGTCACTGTCAGTTATTGGTTCTTTTTCTATCTAATGTCTGTTTATTTCTTTGTTAATTAAGATTCTTCTGGGATGATAGAACACAATAGTAGCTATTCATTTTTTTCTCATCAGTCCATTGCAATACCAATTATTATTCAATACACATTGTGAAAAGACAAATTCGATTAGAACCAATTTATGATTGAATATAAAAAGTTATCATGAGTTTCATGTGAAAGTAAAGTGACAGACTCACTGCTGAATGTTGTCTAGAAGACGACACTAGCAAAGACATTCACTTAATCGTGCAGAGAAAATCACGAAGAAAATTGACAACTACTATTTAGCGATTTAATGTCGATGTTCGCGCGTCTCACATGTTTAAATAGGAGTTCAAGACACGACGAAAAAAAAACAGGTAATGATTTATGTAGTGGAGATTATATTGATAGGTAAATTGCAGTTATCAGTTTAGATGTTATCGATCGGCTACAGAAGGAAAGTTTTTTTTTTGAAATGTAAGTAAATTAATTGTATTTCTAGGGTCAGCACGTAGAATTCGAATCGCTATTAGATTTCTATCTTTTTTTTCTTCTCATTCTTATATCGACTTACGAGACTATTTTTTGACTTGTTGTGGTGGCAAGAAACAAAAATAATATCTTTATCGTTTAATGAGATAATACAAATTATGTCGTTTCTTGAAGAATATTTTATATCTTAATAGACACTATTCGATTATTAAAATTTCTATCGATAAGGAAATTTTTCTAGAAAACATATTATTAATCGTTCTATGTTAGTAGGTTTCTTCAAAAACAAGATTATTTACTATGCTGAAAAGAAACTAGAGTAGGACTCGGATAGATCATAAATCAGGCACGAAAAAGAAAAGAACTAAGAAATCAGAGAAGGTATATTGCGTGCACAATAAAATTAAATAATTTAATATAGGAGATTGAACTATTTACCAATGTTGCCGCGAACGTTCTTTTCTAAGACCCCAAACAGACCAAAAAAATAAAACAGAATTAAGCAACGTGATTGGTTAATTCACACTTAAGTCATCTTTTTGAGACAATTTAGTGGTTAATTCTGTTATCTTTTTGGTCTGTTTGGGGCCTAACACGTACAGACATAATAATCCGATATACACGCACATATTTTCATAATATATTATTACTTCACTGAATTGTGACCGACTCTTGCCATGTTTCAAAATAACGGACGAGAAAGAGGGTATAGAACTACTATTCTAATGCAAACAAGAAGAAGTAGAAACATAGAGGATGCTTGTTGTTATTGTTATTCTTATTTTTACTATTTCCCATTGAAAAGAACTGACAAGTTTGTATTCATGCATGTCTATTCTATCGAACTTATTAGTTTGTTCAATACCATAATCAAGCAATTGTTTCTCTTTTACGTGAGTCTTTTTTTTTATTCTTTATTTTTTCTCCTATTCATGTTTGTCATGTTCGTTTGATAATCCGAAAAGTGTATGAAACCGTATAGTATTTTTCCATATAGTTATGTATTTATTAATCATATTCTGTTGTCACCCATAATGTTCACGAAGAGATTTTCAATCTAACCGAAGAATATACGTGCATGTTGATGAAATAATGTACTAGAGACAAATGTTAATGATAAAATCTGTTCGTCATAGAAGCATCTAGGATAATGTTGCTTCGGGAGCTTTTTTTCATTAATTTCTATGCTTAATAAACATGTGAGCAGAATTTGGCCTTTGTTATTCGAGAACAATTTGTTGTTCTATACGAAAATAGTAAGTAATTATCTTTTCTATTGATTATTACAAACAAAAATACTACAATAAAAAAAAGTAATTAACGAAAAGATTATTTAAATAAGCTTTGGGGAAAGCTCTCATTTGTTGATTAATAATTATTTAATGGTATTTTTTCAATAATGCTGATGCATATTTTGACTGCGTACATCAGTAAATGTGACCTAAAGAGTTTTATTTATGAGAATAAAAAAGGACAATTAAGATATTTTGACAGTTCTATTTCGATTATTTATCTAGTTTTTATTACTTTTGATTCTTAGAAGAAAACAAGAAAGATTTGACATTTTCATCGGGGATAATATAAACTATTTAATCTTCTTAGTTTTCAATAAAACAAAAAGCATTTTACGCATCATCAATCTAAATATTTCGTTCTTATCAGCCGGCTATATGACCAATTTCCCCCCTTACGGCTCACTAACTGTAGAACATATTGATTAATTGATGATTGACCTGTCAGACTTATCATTCCACAGAGTATAGGAAAAAAAATATAAGAAACTCTAGATTATAGAAAAAAAGCAAAACTGAGAGAAATAATAGAGATTGAAATGGTAAAAGAAAGAAAAACTAAACGTATTAATAAGCATTTTACGTAATCCGTCTATTCTTATTAACATATGTATAAAAAGTAAGCCAAACTTTATCTGTGCATAACAGAATTTATTTTCTTGTGCACATACATATGTTGTAGGCAAAATTGGACTTCGGGCAAATTCGAAATTTGCCTAGACAAAATCAAGATCCTAATTTTGACCGTTTTTTTCAGGCAGAATTAGAATTCCAATTCTGTTTGAAAAAAATCCGGTCAGCATTAGAATCTTGATTTTGCCTAGGCAGAATCAGAATTCTAATTTTGACTAGGCAAATTCCGAATTTGCCTGAATTCCAATTTTGCCTACAACATATACATATATATATATATATATACGACGATAACTAATAGCTTGTTTTTCAGTGTTGAAATAATTATAATAAGCTTCCTAATTTCGATATCAATATGTTGCATCTCAAAACTATTTATTCATTACGAATATCGATTAGAAATAGTTATAGGCAATATAACTTGTTTTTTTTTATTGAGGGAAATCACCTATCTATAATCCATTGCCTTGTCAGCATATTATAGGAAGATGTTTGGGCAAACTAAATGAATTAAAATAGATTCCTCGAGCTAAATATTGATGTTGCGCTTAAATATTTTTTCCGCCTTCGGGGTAAATCTGTGAATCAGATATAAGGCTCTATTTTTTATGTCTATTTTGGCAAAAAAATAATAAATCTCATTAGATATCAGCACTGCTTTTTACATTGAAATCTGTGTAGTTAGTTGAAGATCAATGAGTACCATTCTTTGATAAGGTTTTTCCGGGTGATATTTTCTTCCGGTTGACTCGGATAGCTGAATCATTTTGATCTTTGACTGTATGCCAACAAAGAAGTAAAAGTCAGAGAGTAGAAATAGCTAGATCGATTTTTCTTTTCTTGAGAAATTGTATGAATCCTAAAAATAGATATCTTCATATTTTTTTTGTTCGGAATTTAAAATTTCAAAATTGATATTATCTCGATAGATCTCGTGCATGTAATGTGCTAAGCATTCGAATGTACTTGTACAAATCATGAAATTTTGAGGATATCTTCTTTAATTGACATGCAACCATACTAGATTATTTATAGTTTTTCCTTACATATGAATTTGTACCGGATATGGAATGAAATAGGAGAATTTAACGAGCAAATAGTGATTTTCTATGATTTCCTTTAGGGATAATCTTCTCTCATAAGTGAAGTTCACTAGTTTTTAATACGCAATTGTCGCTATGGACTTCGTTTCAAGTCACATCTCAGCAAAGAGAGAAAGCCATACTTCTCAACAAAGAGAAAGTCATCCTTCTGTAAAAGTCATCATTATTTTCTGAGTGTCTTCTCTTCTATGCTATTTTAATAAATCAAAAGAAAATAATATCCTACAAACAACCTACGCATAAAAAAAGAGGAAAACATTTTAATACACTTGTCTTGTTTTTTTTTTTTCCCTCTCTCTTTCTCTTAATATTACATTGCGCATGACTCATTGAAAAAGCGATAATCTAAACGTAATAAATAATTCTTTGACAAGAAAATGAGTACATATATTTGTTTTTGGCGAACAACGAATAGTGATATAAAATAACTTCTGTTGTACTGATAACATCAGTTAAAATGACGGTCTATTGAAATATTGTTACTGCAATGATTGGTAGTTTACTTCTTTTTGCTAGTTTAGTCTATATATCCATGAATAATTTCAGTAATCTCTCTTAAAGCTATAATGCTATAGTGTATCTATTCATTTATTTTTCTATTCTAGAGAAAATAAATTCTAGTGCACCTGTAATTCTAGTAGTCATTCAATAAATGACTAATGCAAATAATACTTATACAATTTTATTCTCTAATATGAACTATTCCACGCCTTATACCAATATAAGTCTATTACAAAATCAATTAATTTTAAATAATTATGGTGATTTAGCCATAGTTGAAAGATTAACTATTTTCCTCACTTTTATTGTATCTATTATTGGTATTATTGGTAATGCAGGTACAATAATTGTATTGAATCAAAAAACGATGCGTCAATGGCGTTCATCAATATTACTAACAGCATTAGCTGCAGTAGATTTGCTTTATTTATCAATTATATTCTTATCGATTATTGATACATTAACAAATCAAGCTGTTGGTCTTCATCGTTCGATTTTACTTTGTCAAGCAACTGTTTATATAACACATGTTTGTTCATTTTTATCAGCAGCATGCACATTATCATTTACATTACAACGTTTTATAGCTGTTCATTTTCCATTGCATGCTAATGCAATAATATCCAATCGTTCATCAATTATAACGATTCTATCGCTCGTATTCATTAGTTCAAGTTTCTATGCATTTAGCTTTTTTGTAACAAATATATCTCAAGGACAATGTCGAGAAGACGAAAGTTATCCAGTACTATTCCCATTATTAATTGTTGATATATGTTTGACATTTGTTATACCATTTATATTTATTCTACTCTGCAATGTTGCTATTGTCTATAAATTACAATCCAGAAAAAAATTTACTCAAAGTTTCAGTAAGACAATCATTGACTATTTCATTTTTTTTTACTTATTTGCCCCATATGATACTTCCGTTGAGCATTAATGTAATCGTTTTGTTTTTATGAGAAAACCTTGAGTATGTATCAAAGTATTTTCAGATCTGCATGTGAATACAAACTCTAAAAGTCAATTCGATTGAAAGCTAGTGCATTTAGAGAATAAAATCCGAATGATTGCAAAAATGTATACATGAAAATTATTTTCTTTTTCATTGCAATAGAAACATCAAGTAGCGATGATGGATTCACTTCATTACTGTATGCCTAACAAGTCAATGAATAATTTTCCAGATAGATTTCCTAAAATATCTAAAACATATGGTCCAACAGATATCTAGAAAAATGATCTACTTGTGCATTTGTACCAAATGGATACGTGTCTAGAAAACGTGGCATTTATGTTGTTTAAAAGATAGAAAAAGAAAACGAAGAAAATCGTTTTACGTTGTATTCCAGAGGTGATTGATCAACGTCACAGAGTCTTAGATGTACTAAATTCAGCTTTTCATGGAATAACAATTAGAAATCAACAGAGAAAAACAAAATGTCAACAGATTAGGAAAACTTCGACTTTCATTTGTTACACACGTAAAAAAACACAATTTTTACTTATTCGTATATTGAGTAATGAATGACAAATATGTCGATTAATGTTTCGCGTACGAGTACAATTACATCACTAATGAGTTCATATTCTAGTTTAAAGAGAAATTACATGAACATGCGACGAAAACTTATTTTACGCGATAATATTATCGAATTGATTGTGTCTATTCAATATGAAAAGATGTTCGTTAGAAATATGGGCACACATTCTTTAGACAGAAAGTAATACGAAGAATATTTATTTTTAATTGAAGCTTGTCACGCTCAAAGATTAGGATCAAAGTCATGATTTTTTTTCATAGTAGATACTTAGCTGCTTGATTACTTTTTCACTAGAGGCCAATGAGCAGTGAGATTCATCCAAGGAGCTATTTGTAGATTTTTTAGTCGATAAGCTGCTTACAAAATTGAGTAACAGCGAATTGTTTTTACTCAGTCCGGATTATTGAGCATATGGAATATTCTAGTGTAAAAGTTATTTTTTCTGCTTCAAATCGTTTGCTATTTTACACAATAAAGCTATTTGAATTCATTCAATTTTTCGAAAGCACAAAAATGTTATTGTCTTACATTCTATTGCCGAGAAAATCGAAAACTCAATAACCTTTTATTAAAAGTACGAAACAAAAAATCCGTAAAGTCATTCTCTATCAGAATTCTTGAAAACTGGAATCTAATCAAATTTAGATCATCATGTCCTTAGAGGTTAAATGAATTATTTCGTGGGCACAGCATGTTATGTTTTTTACTATAAAAGAAAACTATTAATACGTTAGAGTCATGATAGAATATTATTCATTGTATCGTAATTTAAAGCAAAGATACTTACGTGAATATTCTATGTTAAGTTACATAATGAAGACTCATATATGGGCGTGACTCTAATACTTGACGAAAGAAAAAGCCTTTTCTTTTCTTCTTTAGTTGATTCGACGGCAAAAGCAAGTTGTTGCCAACGAGCAACAGATGGCCATAATGAAAGACAAGAACTATATGGATCCAATTCTCAAAGAAATATTAGTACTGATTATATTCACTTAAAACGAGGAGAGAAAAAACATAATTATAAAATGAGTACACAATTGGACGAATCCCAAAGATCAGAGCATAAATATTTATCGCGTCTTAGTTATCCCCGTCTATCCATGGGAAGATCATCGTGCGAATATGTGGCACAGATAGGAACTCTGCAAAGACATCAACAAGCAATATCTCAACGAACAACAAAAATGCTTGTTATATGTTCAACAACATTTTTAATATTTAATTCTCCCTATAGTGCAGTGTTATTCTATTCAATTATATCGAAACAAGTTCTAACACGGCCATTGGATATATTAAGATATTTTTATTTCATGTCATTCTGTTTGAATTTTTTCCTTTATTCACTATGTGGAAATCGTTTCCGTCATGAACTTATCATTCTCCTTAAAAAAGTTTGTCATAGATGTTGTATGAATATATTTCCTCAACATTGTTTACCTTTATCTAAATCTTCACCGCACACAGCTGATTCCATTTCAACTATTCGAACTCGTATTTAATTGAACATTGCTTTTCGTGTTTAACGTAACTTTATGTGTTTCTACGTATAATAAATCAGACTATGAAAATTAGTTTCTCTTGACTTTATTATGGATATATTCAAGCAACGGATATTATTTAGCGAAGACATTTGGCCGAGTCTATGGGCTATTTGACAACACATAGAGATGGGTCACATGAACTTTACCAGCCCTGAAAATGAATGCAATGACTTTCAATGAATCAAGTAAGCCGTCAGACCGTAGGAGTTATCTACATTATTATTTTTTGTTTTGGTTCGTCGTTGACTCGGCTGCAATCAGACATAGAAACTCGCGTGATATTAAAATATTCTATTTTTATGTACGTTTTTCTCTTCTTCTTAATCTGAGTATTAAACCAAGCATAATCTACTTTCTTATAATTAAAGAAATGTACCAACCATGCATGAATTATATATTATTAATTAATGGTATCAGCCAATGAACACATAGGGAAAATGAATTCAATCTAACATTGTTTGTATATCAATTCATTGTAAATCTACGTATCATGTCTTATACTCTTCACGATTGATTTTTAAAATTCAATAGAACTGTCCATGTGCTGCTATTCAAGTAAATGATTGAAACCAGCTTTTGTCTAAGAATAGGATGTTTTTTTTAATAAGCGAGGAGCACTTTAGTGAAGTATTTTTTGCTTTTGGAACTATGACCCTCATCTTTGTCATAATAGTTTTGATAGTTGTCAATGGCACCGCAAGATACGATGTTCCTTTCATTTGAGAAAACCGTTCCAATCTGCAATTGATTTTACTTTCAAAACGAGCCATGTATGACCCAAGCTTTCCTGTTTGTAGGTAGCGCTTTATCTATGTAGTTTGATGAACTCGAGGGTAACCTGCTAACAGTCAAATCCCTATGGTTGATATTTATTTTCTAATTTCATTTTTTAACCGATGCTTACTCGTGCATTCGTTTTCTTCCAAGCGAATGTTCTTTTGTTCGCTCTCCACTGCATAAGTCGATCGCTCTGGTCCAAATGCAAACCAATATTTTAATAATATAGCCAAAACAAATATATTAGTCTCATATGTCTATTGAAATCATTAACGAAAAGAAAACGAGTCCTTCAATTAAACAATACTGGTTAAGAGACACACGAAATAATTTTTCTTTTTCATACGCCTGCTTTTTTTTTAACCAACTATCGCATGACACCATATGAAAATAATATAGAAAGACTATCGTCGCAATATATATTTATATCGATAAGAGCCATCTGTGCACATTCCATCGGCTACTTAAAACATACGAACGAATAATTTATGAGCTAAATAGAAAACGCAATATTGATTTTTAATCATGGATAACAATTTCGAACAACTTGTTAGCGCACTTCCATTGTCATCATCATTTACGTTTGGCATTAGCGAAATTACATATATTCTCGAAAAACAAAATATTGATTTATCATCATCATTTATATTTGAATCTTTTCAATCATTAGTTAGACTCGAATGTTGGGCATGGAAAGTTCTAAGTAAAGATTCATATCAATGGATAAATCAACCAAATTATTTAACATTATTTCATACGCTTGCATTGTTTAATAAAAATTTAATATTCAATTATGATAATATTAAAGACGGAATGAAAGCATCACTTCTTATACCTGATACCATCGATCAAATCAATGATATATTCGAACAAATTAACCGAGATAAAGATGATAATGATCCATTTATTAGTATAGCGAGTGTTTGGTTTGATAATCTTGCATTATTCGTTCATGAAAATCCTGAATTTGATACATCGCCTGTTATTTGTCATATTAATCAATTTATTGGACAAAATTATCTTATGACTGAACAATATACATTCTATTTAGCTCAACTTCAAAAACCAAAATTACCACAATCAATATTTACTGCTAAACAATTATTTTATATAAAAACGTGTTCGTTTTGTTTGAGTTCATATTTAACTGCCACAGCTCAGCATTTTCTCTATACTGCGGAAGATATTTTACATTATGTCGGTAATGATTTTGTGCAAATCATTGAAATTCATAGTCACATCATAGATATGTGGAGTGAACAATTTCTAACGTGTATAACGCATTTAATTGGTTTCATTGCAGCATGTTGTTGGTGGGGCGGAGAAAAACAAAAACAAATCAATCGTTTATTTCATTCAGAACAAATTATTTATTCGTATATAAATTCATTAATTCGAATAATAAGTTACAAACCATTTTATTCACATATAAAAGCACAATCATCCAACGATGATACACAGTTAATCGATTTTTGTTTATTTTCTTTACAAACTCTTGCGCAAAATCAAGATTTAATATGGTTTTTTCGTTCGAAAATTTCAGTACCCGAAACACTTTCAACAATAGCCGAGCTATCAATTCATGATAAAATTTGTTTACGTGCATACATTATCTTAGGAGAAATCCTCTGTAATGAACGTTTAAAAGATTTGAAAATTGCCGATAATCTAAGTCTATTTTTCTATGATATGCTGGAACATGCTTGGAGACATCCATCGAAAAATTATAAACAAATACCTATTTTTCATCTATTGCGAGGTTAGTATTGCTATAATTGACTATAATTGAATTGAATTCATTCTTTTAGGCTTTTTGACGCTATCAAAAATCGATGCAATACAACAGAAAACAGCTGATTTAGATAAAATACCACTTTTTATAGAAATCTGCGATGAATATCCAATAACATTTGATATTCTATGGGCGTTATCATTCAATTCAGATATTCAAAATAAACTACGTTCAAATACAGCATTCATGGCTAAACTAGTTCATCTAGCAAAACAATGCGACAATGAACAAATGAGAAAAATGACACATGGCATTCTTTGGAATCTCGAATCAAGCCATCAAGATCGCGCAATGTCAGAATTTAGCGAAGAAAAACAATTCGATATAATGATTAGTTATTCACATAAAGAAAAAGTGCTTTGTAAACAAATCTACGATGAATTGACGAAAGCTGGCTATCGGATATGGATTGACTTTGATCAAATGCATGGAAATGTGATGGACGCCATGGCACAAGCTATTGAACAATCAAATGTAATCATTATTTGTATGAGTGAACAATATCGTCGCAGTAATTATTGTCGAGCGGAAGCACATTATGCATTTCAACGGCAACTTAAAATAGTTCCGATTCTTCTACAGAAACATTACAAACCAGATGGATGGCTTTCATTTCTTATCGGTCAACTGCTTTATGTTGATTTTACTAAACATGAATTTGTACGAGCAATGAAATTACTGATGAAAGAACTTCAAACTGAGCAGATTCCTGAAATTCTAATGACAGCATTTCATTCGAGTTCAAGTACTGATTCTGTATTTTCTGGTAAAGAAGAAATACCATTGAAAGGGCCTTTATCGGTGTCAATTATATTCCCGAAAAATATGTTAGATTGGACACGAAAGAATGTACATGATTGGCTAATGGAAAATAATCTTATTCAAATGTCTCAACTACTTGTAGATTGTAATGGTTCAAGCTTACTTTATTTAAGTGATTTTATTAAGAGCGGTGAGACAAAACAAGTATTAAATCTTCTTCAAGAAGAATCACTTCGACGAACAAATGAAGGTTTGTCATTGGTTGAACTGTCTTATTTTCAATCACTGATGGATCAACAAAGATCTGCATTGGGATCGAAAGTTTCTCGACGATCTTTGAGAAATACGAATCGAGGAAAAAAACTTATCTCATCTTGTTGTCAAATAATTTGATGTTTTTCTTTTCTTTTTCAAATGGGAATTTTTATGTCAAACTAATCATAGTTTTTCCTGTATATTTCTTTAACCCTTTCCGGCCAGCTGTTTGGAAATTGCCGTACCCCCCTAGGGGAAAATGTTGTCATATGGCAACATCGGGCCGGAAAGGGTTAAAAAACACCAATTATGGATTTATGGTTATCACGAAATAAAAAGTTTACTTGGCTAAAACCAACAGTAAATAATGAATAAACACACAATGTATTTGAAACTGTTCTAAAAAAATCTTTAGTAAAAAGGAGTATTTTCTATGATACAATATTTAACTTGAAATGGGTTCCTGCGAATACTTGAAATTTATCAATGCATTTCGAATTAAATCTGTTCTTTCAGTTACAACAGGCTTTAAAGATGTTCACCAACTTCATGGTACGTAATCAAGGAAGGACGACGCTAGTTTTTTGTTTTTTGGATCACGATTGATCACTCTATCATTATGAATTAGTTATTAGATTTCTAAAGCATAAATTTTAATTGTTTAGTCAAGAGCAAATAAAGAAGGATGTCATCTCTACCTGATAATATATCCGTTTCAAGGCTTCTTCCAGCAATAGGATATCCGTACACGTTATTCTAGTAGTTGTTATTCAGTTTAAATCGCATCAATATTTGCTTTGATATGAAAGTGAATAATTATCTTCTTTTAAAATTCTATGACTTTGAAGTGTCTATTACATTGTATTACAGAAAAGAAACATTTTCTTCTATTGTTAGAAAATGAGACAATGTGTTAATTTCTATACTGTTAGTTAGACACATCCACACCCACATCCTCCAAAAATTACCCGGAACCGAACCGGGAACCGGAACCGCGGTTCCCGTTCCGGTCCCCAATCATTTCAAAACAGCGATTCCGGTTCGGTTCCAAAATTATTATACCGAACCGTGGAACCGTTTACCTATCAAAGTGTGGCTATGATATACAATAGGTGGGGTACTGATCATGGTTGCTGATGTCGCTGACTACAAAATTTGTATCTCTGCTTCAAGATCAGTGTAGAATCACGCCTAACATGAGTTGCGAATCGTTTCTTTTTCAGTAGCATCTTGAGAAAAATCTTGATGTCAGTGATTATATAAAAGAAACGGTTCTACGGTTCCTTTAACGGTTTCTGAGTCATTTTTTCTACGGTTCCGGTTCGGTTCTCGGTTCCATATTTTGTGGAACCGCAGACCTCTAGTCGGAAACGTTATAAAACGGTAGTATACATTGCCATATGCGGCCGTTTACGATCGTATCAAGTCGTCGTAATGCTCGTTCTGAGAAAGGAAAAAAAGTAATTGGATCACTCTCTGTATCGATAAAAGATATTGTGATCAAGCAAGCATGACACGAGATGAAAGTTGTAGAAACGAAATACAGTGAGACTGTTCTAATAGAATAAAAAGAAAATCTTGCAAAGTTCAATTAATTAATAGAAACTGTTGATATAAAAGATATGTTGAAGAAAAAGAATTTCACTCAAACGATAGCGCATTACTAACATCTCTCGATAATCTTGACTTTCGTGAATCGTGCGAATTAACTGCTAGCACTAAAAAAATGTATCGACTTTTGTCAAAACGTCGGTTTGATTAGTTTCACTCTCAATGAACCTTGTACACAAGGTCATAATAATTGGAAACTCTAGATTCTTATGCACGATGAGCATCTGATGAATATGTATGAATATATAAAAAATGTAAAAGTACAAGAACTCTTCGACATGGCAGTTTTTCTCTTACTCACAGCTGTCAATTCGTCAAGTTCTTGATCTGGCATACTTCTGAGCGTAACAAATAGATTCGCATGCATTTCTAAGACATTATTGCTAATGGATCCGATCCTCATCGGTACAACCATCAAACAGTCAATCACTCTGTAAATTTCGTTCATCCAACAACTTCAATGCACACTCACAATATTGAGAATTTATGAATGTGCATGAAGAGAGAAAAGAAGGCCCAAATGAGCCAACATGTAACTCTTCTCGGGACACATTTGACTGAGTGTATGTGGCGTCAACGGTTTGAAGATCGCCCATTAGAAAATCTTGTTCATGCTATTCAATAAAAACATGTTGTACAATATATTGTTTTGTATTCTCTTTTTATTTCTCAAATAAATTCTTATATAATCATACGACATCTTTCATCATAATATTTCAATCGAGAGAGAGAACAATCCAATAAATTTTATTCCTTTCTTCTCTTCTCTTCTCATATGCGTTGCAACAATAAGTTTGTGTGTGTGTAACGTGTAGAAGCAACTCCTCCAAGATAGTCATACGAGAAAATGAGTCATACGCAACAAACACACATTCACTGATGGAACACGATTTTACTCGATTGATCAATAGTCTTTCAGAATCTCCTTTACCGGATGATATATTTTCACAAATAAAATGTTATCTTCAACAACAAACAGATGATGTACTTCCCATTTTTATTTCTCAATCATTTCAGTCTTTAGTTACACTCGAACATTGGGCATGGAGATTACTTAGTCAAGATTTTCACAAATTTCTTAATCAATCCAATTATTTAGAACTATTTCACAGTCTTGGTCAATTAAATTTCAGATTAGTTTTTAAACGCAATCAAATTGAAGCAAATGTTAAATCGTCACTTCTTATACCTGAAAATATACAATGGATTGATCAAATATTCGATCAATTCGACAAAATTCAAGATCAAAATGACCCTTTCTTTATTATTATCAGTCTTTGGTTTGATAACCTTTCATATTTAATTCATGAGCATACGCAATTTGAAAATCTACCGATCATTATTCACCTATGTCAACGTATAGGACAAGATTTTATTTTATCAAATCAATATAAAACCTATTTAACTCAACTTTGTCAAAGAGAAATTTCTCAGTCTATATTTACAACTAAACAATTATTTTATATAAGAACATGTTCATTTATGTTTCGAATGTATATATGTTCAATCGTTGATAAATCACCATTTCAAGGCGAGGAATTACTTGATCGTTATGGTGATGATTATTTACAAATGATATCTATTCATAGTTATACTGTTAATTCTTGGAGTCAAGAACTATTAATTTGCGTAGCACATCTTATTGATTTTATATGTGCATGTTGCTGGTGGGGAACTGAAAAAGCAATGTATATTAAAAAACTTGTAGCATCAGAACTAATAGTTTATGATCATATTCAAGGACTTATACGTATTGTTGGTTATAAACCATTTTACGAACGTATTACATCGCAATGGTGTAATGAGGAAACAATTCTCATTGATTCAACATTTATTTTTTTTATCGGTGCTTTAATGCAAATTAAAAATTTAGCATGTTTTATACGGTCAGAAACAAGCCTATCAAATATTATTTTAGCTATAGCACAAAAATCATGCTACGATCGAATATCAGTATGTGGTTATGGAATTTTAGCTGAAATTCTATCAGATGAACAATTAAAACAAGTTCAAATAACAGATAATATATCGGATTTTTTCTTTCGCATTTTGGAACATGCATGGAGTCACCCAACACAGCGATATAAACGTATAGCTATACCACAATTATTAACAGGTAAGCTAGAAACGTTTTTCTTCTCTGTTAGGAGTGCTAGAATGAATCCTTTGAAGAATATATTTCTCAAGCCCTCACTTATGTTTCTTCATTGATATGCAATTCTTTATTTTTTGTATCGCCTAGGATTTTTAACTGTATCAAAAAATGATGCTATTCAACAAAAAACAGCTAATTTAAACAAACTTTCACTTTTAATTGAAATGTCTGAGAAATATCCAATAACATTGGATATTTTGTGGAGTCTTTCATTTAATGAAGATATTCAACAACAATTACGTTCAAATCGATCGTTTATGAATAAATTAGCTCGTTTAAAAGAAGAATGTAGCAATGAAAAAATGCGTAAAATTATTTTTGGAATTCTTTGGAATCTCGAGTCGTGTCATCAAGATCGTCCAACGTCAGACTTTATTGATGAAAAAAAGTTCGATATTATGATCAGTTATTCGCATAAAGATGAAGTTATTTGTAAACAAATCTATGAAGAATTAGTTAAATCCGGTTATCGTGTATGGATTGATTATGATCAAATACATGGAAATGTGATGGACGCCATGGCACAAGCTATTGAACAATCAAATGTAATCATTATTTGTATGAGTGAACAATATCGTCGCAGTAATTATTGTCGAGCTGAAGCGCATTATGCATTTCAACGACAACTTAAAATAGTTCCGATTCTTCTACAAGAACATTATACTCCTGATGGATGGCTATTATTTCTTATAGGACAACTACTGTACGTTGACTTCACTAAATATGAATTTCCTCGAGCAATTGAATTGTTAATTCAAGAATTAAAGGCTCCTGGAATCGAAGACAATCGAGTACCATCTGTTCAATCGAAACGTGATAAAAGTTTTGTAGCTTCATTATCTCCGAAAGTAGTCACACTTCCGGAAAGTATTCTCGATTGGTCACAAGGGGACGTACAGAATTGGTTAGTTGGATTGAATCTTAGACAAATGGCGCAACTTCTAGTTGATTTTGATGGGCCTAGTTTGAATAGTTTAAGTGAATTTATAACAAAAAGTGATCCTCAACAAATTTTGACCTTATTTCAAGATGATTGTTCACGAAACATCAATGAAAACGTGTCATTGCTAGAATTGGCTCGTTTTCGTATATTACTCAGCGAACGACAAGTAACGACTAAAGCAAATCGACTGATGAAGAAAAGCAGCAGCATTATGAACTTTTTAAGTCAATGTCGAATAATGTAGTGCTTTTTTTTTACCTTGAATTGTAATCTTGATATTCAATATCAATAATTAATAAAATTTATTTTTACTACCGAGAATTGATCATAGGGAAATTTTGCTCAAGCAAAAAAAAAAGACATAATCGGCATTAAACTATTAGACATATCCAAAAAAACAGAAGTTAATATTCAGAATGGATATAAAGAGTATATAAATCACTGCACTATGACATTAAAAAATCCAATACATACAAGAAATTCTTAGGTTGACATATACGAAGTGTATAGAAACAGGCAAAAACTAACTATCTTATGCAATTATAGAAGGTCATTGCCAATCAATCAAACTAATAGGAAAAAGAATAATCATAAACGATATTCATTTTCTTGTACTTCCATTACACTCATCTTTATTATTACATTTTAGTTTTCCATGTACCTACTCGATCGAAAAAAATGATAGTTTTAGAAAAATCCTGTAAAAAGGCATACTGAATCATTCAATAGGCGGTCACCAACTTGAAAAATAAATAATATCTCTACGGTAACTCGCAAATTTCTTGAACCAGATTCATATTTTTATGGATTAAAATCTCGGAAACCAGGAAATAACGTGTTTCATACGGTAATAATAGAAAACACGATGCCTTTGATAGCTTGTGAAAACATTATGTGTGTTTATTAGAAGTCTGAGTCGATTGAATAAGCTAATTTTACTACTGGGCTTAACGCGCTTGCTCCTTCAAGCCGTGCTGTAATTCAGAAGCACGGCATGTTTCTTCATCAAAATAAGTGTTCTTAGTTTTTCGCATATATTTCCGACACATTGGATGTTTTACCTTTGTCGATTTGTGCAGAATCTTGTTTTTAATTATGCTATTTTGACATGAGTCACTGCATTTTCAATCTAGTTCTTTGTATGTGTAATATTTAATTCCTAAAATGTTCGTTAGAAAAAGATGTTATATTATTTATCTGGTACAACAGGAAAAAAATGACTAAAACTTCATTTTGAATATACATTATCACATGAATATTCAAAAAAAAAATCTCCAGGCCTGATTAAAACTAGCGCAACTAGTTTAACAGAGAAGAACAAAGAGTGATTGAATAGGAGACCATAATCAATAGGTATGTGAAAGCAAAGCTGTGCCGTACGGTTAGTGATACTATTAGATCAAATCAATACTCTGTTCTAATATAATCGATAGATTATTATTCAGCTAGTATAGCTATATATGCAGCTCTAGATTGCAAAAGTTTTGTAATGAAAGTGGAAAGATTCAGAGCATTCGTTATCTTGAAAAAAATAATTACATTAATCGCACTCTTTCCACTTGACTTTTCTTTTCTACGACAAACAAATTGTTTTTAGAATCAACTTGAGTACTCAATTATCTTTCTAGTCATTTCCTGTTCAGCAATTATTGTTCTTAATAATTACATATTATCCAATGAACCTTTTATAACATAAACATAATTATAATTTATATCGCTACTGCATATATATATATATATATAGATATCTACAACGAGACCAGTATATGTAAGCATACGCAAAATAAATAGAATTCGCAGTTTAGTTCTATTATTGTCTCATTTCTCAACCAGTGACGTGTGTCTTAATAGCATTTTAAATATTGGTCTATATATATATATTTTGTATAGAAATGATAACAATACACTACTTGAGAAAACAAGATCTTCAATATATTGTCGCCCTGATGAATGGCTCAGGTAGCTATTACATGCATTTCAATAGTCGCTGAGGGTTCATCAGAATTTCATCACTCTTCAATTCAGTGCCCTACTCTATGTAAGCCAACATGAAATTATAAAGGTTCCTTGCTTGTAAACCAAATCAGAAGCTCGTTTAAACTATATCAAACGTTCAATCAAATCAAATTCAGTGGAAAGTCTACTCTTGAAGTTTCAATGCAAAGAATGTTACAAAAATAATTTGAATATTCCTTGTATTATTGCCATTGAATATTTTATTCATTTGAAGGAAAAAAAAGATGAATACAAAAATCTCCTGCCATCTTTTTTGTTTTACCTGTTTCATCAACAGAAAATGATCCAATCATATCATTTTACAAGCTTTCTTACGGCAGAACATGTTAAGCCAATAGAATTCGACTTATTGACCTCTATCGAAATGTCTAGGCGAGTTTAAAAAGAAAAAGAACATATTGAGTCGTAATTGTCCTCTTAAGAATTTTTCATGATTTTGATCGACTTATTATATCACATATGAGTTCAACTTCTTTTTCAACATTGATTGCTCGCTTCTATTTTTACATAACATGAATCGATCGATCAACTCATTCAAGCGTTCACTCCGTTTTCATCAAATTCAAATTAAATTTCACTCTTTCTATCATTATTTAGGACTAGACTATGTTCTTTTATTTAAAAATGACCTTGCTTATTCTAGACTCAACGAAAATGTATCGTCAATTGTTTCGTCATATTACTTCTTTAACAATCAAACCAACGACTGGTTTATTTCAATCAATTTCACAACGAACACATCATTGTAATCCATTTCCAGCAATATCAAAGCAAGCACCTGAATTCAAAGGGCAAGCAGTAATTAATGGTCATTTCAAAGAAATTCAACTGTCGGATTATAAAGGAAAATATGTTGTACTTTTTTTCTATCCATTGGATTTTACATTTGTCTGTCCAACAGAACTTGTTGCTTTTAATGAAAAATTAGATGAATTTCGTCAACTTGATACTGAAGTTATTGGTTGTAGTACTGATTCAATATACAGTCATCTTGGTAAGTTAATATACCTAGAATCAATTCATATAGAATAGTTCATATATTGCGATTATTTCAGTGTAATTGAGAATGCGATTAACCTTGTACATTCGTAAGAATAAAAAATAATTCCAGGCTGATCTGACATTATCAGAATGTTCAATACTCGAAGCACATTCTTTCCCTTAGAGAAAAAATGATTCACTTGATATATATATATATATATATATACAGAGAAAGAGAGATACGAAGCGCATGACTTGTAGAGAAGAAGATGCATGATCGTGACATTTTTTTCTTTAAAGACCTCAGTTAGATGAATAAACAGATGTCGAGATTACATAGAATAAAAACTGATTGAAAGAGAAAATTTCTTGCGCATTCTTTTTTGTTTCGAAGACTGAAAAGAAAGCCTACTACTGTATAATCATTAGTAAATGACGTCAATATTAACCTTGTGAAGACTACCATTGCAACAATCTGTTATTCCAACTAACAGATTCCATTTATGAATTTGTCTTTCATTATTTTAGCTTGGATAAATACGCCGAGAAAACAAGGTGGTCTTGGCGGACTTAAATATCCATTATTAAGTGATTTTTCAAAAGAAATTTCACGACGTTATGGTGTTCTACTTGAAGCTAATGGTGGTATCGCATTACGTGGTTTATTCATTATTGACCGAGACCAGACTTTAAGACAGATAACTGTCAATGATTTACCAGTAGGTCGATCAGTTGATGAAGTTCTCCGTCTTGTAAAAGCGTTTCAATTTGTTGAAAAACATGGTGAAGTATGTCCAGCTAATTGGAACGATAAAACCAATCCAAATACAATCAAACCTGATCCCGTAAACTCGAAAGAATATTTTGAAAAACAAAAATAAATTTTTCTAAGAAAAAACAACACCAATATCCCTTTTTTTTCGCTGTTGAGACAATCAATACTGTTTGTTTTACATGTATGCTGTTTTCTAGATCTTTTACTTTGTATGTTATAACAGAAAACAACAAAATATGCAAGCCTACGGTCGGTATGATTTTAATGCAACGGCCAATGATGAACTTAGTTTTCAAAAAGGAGTAGCACTCAAAGTATGTTTTTACTAAATTTTATACAAAACAAAATAATTTTTTTTTGTGTTTCAATAGGTACTCAACATGGAAGAAGATATGAATTGGTATAAAGCTGAATTAAAAGGAAAAGAAGGCTATGTACCGAAGACTTACATTGAAATGGTTCCTCATCCGTAAGTATTTGTTTAAAAAAACAACATTCTTTCACCATTCAAGCTATACGCTTTGAACATGATAAAAATATTTTTCTTCTCTGTTCATTTAAACGAAGAGCCTTAAGCTAACTTACATTAGTTTCTATCAAAAAAAAAAGAAAAGCAACTAGCCCCTATCAATTAGCTATTTGTTTTCTTTGATCGTGTGTGCATGTGAATATAGTTTGATGATGTATAAATATTAGAAGTTCATATTACAAAAAGGCACTTAAGAGTATGCAGACGAATATGATTTATGTTTTTAAGTCTTCTCTTTTGTTTTTAGTTGGTTTCATGGTACGATAACTCGTGCTGAAGCTGAAAAAATTCTTCTTCAAAAAGACACAAATACTCAACGATATCAACAACCTGATGGCGCGTTTCTTCTCCGAATGTGTGAATCATCGCCGGGTGATTTTTCGCTTTCAGTCAAGTATGAATTCCGATTTTTATCTGGTCATATTACTATTGTTAGATATTTATTTCAGATGTCAAGATCAGGTTCAACACTTTAAAGTGTTACGTGATGGTATGGGTAAATATTTTTTATGGGTTGTTAAATTCGATTCAATTAATGAATTAATTGATTATCATCGCGAGACTTCAGTTAATCGTGGACTAAATTTACCGCTCAAAGATATGGTTTCCGAGCAAACATCATATGTAAACTGAATAAAATGATGGTTGAATAAGAATTTTATTATGCTCTTTTTGTTAATATTCTTTAGAACCAGAAGAATACTCAAAAATCAATGCAGAACTTTCAACCACAATCATCAGCTCCACCGCCACCAATATCATCATCTTCCACCGATGGTCAAACTTATGTAGCTGCATATGATTTTCAACCACAAGAAGAAGGTGAAATCGAATTAAGACGTGGTGATCATATTGGAATGTTAGATCAAAGTGATGATAATTGGTGGAAAGGCGAAGTTCGTGGTAATATTGGTCTATTTCCTGCAACTTATGTTCGACGTTTGTAAGCAATACCAACAGTGTTACCTTTTTGACAAAGACACATAAAATATGACTTTTTCGTTCAACACGTGCTTAAAGAAACTGACACGTGTTCTAGCCTAATTAGTACCTGCCACTCAAAAATACGCGCGTATGTTCGTGTAAATATATATATATAAATATATATTTAGTCTACTTGTTAAATTGATGCCACTCGGCATTATTTTCTCTTTCTTACGAATAACTGATACAATTAATAGATTGGTGCTCTTTTGTTCAATGTTGTAGGAAGATAGATTGCTATTGCTTCTGTTATATTGTTGTTGCTCTTCTTCTATTCTCTTTTGTCACCATGTTTTTTTTTAGTGATGAAATAAATAAATAAATATCATTCTTTCGGAACCACGAACAATAGCTAATCTTCATTCTATCACTTAGTATAATATATATACATATTATTCCAATTAATCAATCATATTTACTGATTATCTTATATTTCTCGTTCAATCGAAAAACAAAGCTAATCGGAACTTATAAAATTGTTAAGCAAATAGTAAAACTACATTTTTGAAGATGCTGAGAAAAAACATTTAAAAAAAAGCTTACGACACTCGGTATTCCCAGGCGGTCACCCATCCAAGTACTAACCGAGCCCGACGTTGCTTAACTTCAGTGATCGGACGAGAACTGGTGTATTCAACGTGGTATGGCCGTAAGCGAATATCACCGTATTCGTTTGCAGTTATGAACTTTGAAAATTATTTTCATGAAAAATAAATTTTACTGAAAATAAAAAGAATGAGAAACTATGAGACCATTAGTAATAGTTGATTTCGAATAAATACGTAAAGAAGATGAAGAAAAAACAAAAGAAAAGAAAATAATTGATAGTATAATAAATCAGAATGTATAAATGCAATCATGTTCAAAACATGATGCAATAGGAAAGGCTCACATTGTTAGTGTACTGTTACTCAAATGAAAATAACAAGTCACTATTTCATGTCAATAAATTGAAGATTATAAAAATGCAAATTTTTATAATGGAACTAAATCTTCGTCTAAGTAATCAGTATATGTTTTTTCGACCAAACGTGAAGTTCACATAATTCAACAGCCTAAAAATAATACTAAATATATTTCCGAAAAACAATTGCTGTCACTCACATTGCACAACTCGGCATTTGCACGACTTGCGCACCAATAGTTCATGCCAAATATACATTTACCATACTTAACTGGAGATGATGTCGTAACTGAAGTTATTGGTTTTGTTGTCGATTGCTTGGCTATCGAATTTTGGCACACTCCAAGATAACTGCAAATTGTATTTGGATCAGCTATTTCAGCAATTAATTGTGCAAGTACAGGTCCATATGAGTTAACGAATTCCTCACATGTAGTACGTTCTTTGCCTAGGGAAAATAAGAAGCAACAACAAAAAAACTCTATTTGTAGAGCTAAACTTACTTGGTAGAATAGTGCAAACTTTTTTCAATGCTTCTTCAACAGCTTGTTCTGATTTATTATTCTTTAGAACAGCATCCAAATAGGAAATAACATAATGACATAGTGTACATTGTGGAGTTTCACTCAATTTTTGATTAATCATTGGTTCTTTTTCAACATCTTTTTTCAATGGTATCGCTGGTTGTAATTCACTCATCGGTGTTTGACACAAAGGTAGTTCTTGACAAAAATTATCTCCTGGACTAAGTTTTAATTGTTCAATATGTGGTGAAAATAGATGAACAATTGTTTGACATTTTGATTGTTGTTCTTCGGATAGATGCGAACAAACAGTTGATAAACTATGTTGGAGAGATTTTTCTTGTGAACTGCGTTTTAAAGCAAAATTTAAGAATGTTGATATATAATCACAAATACCACATGTTGCAGTATCTGCTTTCAGTATATGTGTAATGTCGATTTTCATTTGATTTGTACATAAATTAAGTTTATGACAAACTGTTGCAAGATCAAATTCTTGAAGAAGTATTGCAATTATTGGTGGACCATAATTATCAATATAATCATAACATTGATTTCTCAACGTTGATGGTATTAAACTGCAAACTTTTTCTAAATTTTCCTCAATTTCTTTTTGAGTCGATTGACTATTTATATAATTCGTAAGACTATGCATTACATATTCACAAAGTACACATGTTGCATTTGAGTCATCAACTTTTTTAATTTCTTCAATTTCTGATTTGTTCGATTCGATTGATTCGTCACATTCTGCTTGAGAACTGCCCACATTGTCACATAACGATGATTTATTACAAAAGCCAAAATGAATACAAACACGTTTTGGATTGATTCGATCAATGTGTGCATCAAATCGTGCTTGTCTCATTCGCCAGTGTCTACGGCAGAGATGCTTAGCTGGGCAGAATTGACATGAACGAATCAAAGAGAAAAACATTTTGTCACCGACAAATTTAGTATGGCGTTTTCGTCGTGTAACGCGAAAAAGGCAATGTTTGCATTTATCTTGGGTTGGCTCATCTAAACATAAAAAATAATACTCGATCATCCTTGATGCTAATGGACAAGCTTGTATTCTCAGATAAATGTAAATTAATCTTTCTGTCTAATCAGTGATATTGACCTTTTAACGTGTGGGGTGGTACAACAGTAGTGGATATATGTCGTTCTTATCAAATAACAGAATAACGCCATTTAGATCTACGATGAATACTAGACATCAATAGCTCTGAATGACAAATATCTCTGAGCACATTTCTTTTATCAGTTAGCGAGAACGCTTAAAAATAAAGGCAACCTTACCAAGATCTTCTGTATTCGATAAATTATCTGTTAATTGTTTCTCGATTTGCACTAAATCTTTAATATCGTAGTTAATCTTTAATTCTTGAATTTGTTTTGTGTCTCCGTGAATAATACTTTTACACAATGTTTCAAATGGGCCAAGAGTCGAGCAGATATTTTTAACAATTTCGTTCTCTACATTTTTCTCATATTGATCAAAGCCTAGATCCTTTTCAGAATTTTCCGTTGTACAAAAACCCATTGCAGTACATGTTTCAGTTAGATCAAACTCTTCCAATGAGAGTTGGACTAAATCATGAACTTGTTGAACATAAAGTTGACATTGTTTATCGGCATTTTGTTGGCAAAGATCTCTGAAATGTCCTGTAAGTCTGTCACTAGCTTGTGAAATTGCATCTTTTCGTAATTGTAAACGTTCGACACATGTTGAACATTTGCCAACTGACGACACCGAACAAAGATGAATGTTTTGACAGAATTGTTCAGGATTGATTCCATCGACATAAGATTTAAGATTATCAAATTGTTGATTGAAAAGTTCACGACATTGATCTTTGACTGGACAACTTTCACATGTTTGAAGTAAAGCATTACGAGCTGATTCCTAAAATGTAAGACGTTGATGTTTTTTTGTTAAATGAATTTTTTTTTATTACGTACTAATCCATTTAGCCAGAAATCTTTCGATGATTGAACCATAATTTTACATTGATCACAAGTATCAGCTTTTAGTTCATGTAAATCAGCGTCAATCAATTTTTGATTATTGTTCAATAAAGCAAGATAAACTTTAGCATAACAATCATACTGTTTCGATGCTATTAATTGCTCACAGATTGATTTGAAATCTCCAAATTCAGAGCAAAAACTATCCAAAAATGCTTCGATGGATGATCCAAGATCAACATGAATTCCAGCCATTGAATTAGGAGAGGTTGACATTGATCGAAATGATTTTGTAACTGTACAAAGGCCGAAACGTTGACAAAATATAAAAGATTTTGTTCGATCTAATTTGTCTGTAATTTGTTGATGGTTTAATTTAATTGATGAATAACAGCCAGTTGCTTGACATAGAGAAACAAGAGTTGTTGTTATTTCGTTGGCTACAGTACGAAAATTATTTTGGCGAAAATTTAAATTATTTTGACAACATCCACATCTGTCGTTCTCCGTATTACACTAAAATATCGTTCAAAATCTTGTACTTAAAATAAATAATAAAGTCACTTACATCTACAGCAGCTGCCGAACAGTGAGTTAACACTTGACAGATGCGTTTGGCATTCTATTAAAATACAAATTTCAATTTGTGTATATTTTACATCATTTTGTTTTATATCGGAGAAAGTTCTTATCCTCGGAAAAGTAGAAGTTTCAAGCTAGTCTTTAGTTTTCTCTCTGAAAAGGATCACGGAGGTGTTTTATTCAATTTTTCTCTTTCAAAGAAGCGGCCATTTTGATGGTATGAATTTAACCAAAATAAAATCCAGTACACATCATGCGAAAGAGAGAGAAACAATAATTTCGATTCGATGTAGCTGTTGTTGATTCTAACGAGTAACACATGGCTATCAGTAGAAAAATGAGTGAAATTTATTTTCTGACCAGACTATTTCATTATATGTTATTAAGTTGTAAGAATCTTCACAATAAGACTTATTTATCTTGTTTGTCAACTGTACTTACAAAATGATTAATGATTTGATCAATATTCGATTTGAATTCGGTAGCAACATTACGACACTAAAATATAAAATAAAATCTCTGCCTATCCTAATGAACCAAATCTTACACTCTCCGAGTTCGGAATTTGTTCACATAAGAAATTGGTAGTCGATAACATGGTTTGCTGAAAAGATAAAAAGAATAAGTAAAAAAACCATTTTCATTAGAAACAATTCTTACCAAGAATGCAGCTAATTCGACTTGATAATTTTCAATTTTAGCCACACAACATTCACACTTATCATTGCACTAGAAAAATACATTCGTAATAGATAAAAAGAAAACGTTCAAGTTTTTTAAACGTATTACATTTTCAAACGCTTTTGTCGTTGGGCATACATTAAGTACATCACATACTCTATGTGGATCTACACCTTTAGCAATATTAGAAAATAGATTTGCACCTTCAGAATCTACTAAATTATAACACTAAAAACAAGGAATGATAATAATAGAGATCATTTATTTTTTTAATTATAAATAAAAACCTACCAATTTTGACAATGGTCCGAATTTGGCACAAATTTCATTTTTAATATAAACAATGATTTCGTGCTAAAAATTTAATCGAGATTCTTCTATGAATACAACAAAAATATAGTCTTTTCTTACACTCATCATACTATCCGATGTGGTTATTCGCATTGGATCTAGGTTTTCTAATAAAACTTCAGTACACATCTTTAATTCGACACAAATCTCTTGTGGATTCTAAATTAAAAAAAGCGAAACAATTCCTCAATGATTACTACATGAAAAATTCTCATACCAACGATTGAATAAATGCAACAAGTTTATTAATCGATTCGTCCACTGCTGCAGTACACTAAATATAAATAAATAAATAAATAATTTTCAATGTTTCTCAGAAGATTGCCAGTTAGAACAAATCTTAAGGATTCCTAGGAGAAAACAAAGCCTGTCACGTTCTCATTATCAGGTATCCATGTAAATGAGTCCGACACGATTCCTACTGGATCTGACTGTCGGAATGGTCTCTATTGAGTTCGAGCAAAAAGTCTCAGAAAATGTAAGGACACTACCAGATTTAGTTTTTTGAATTCTATTGCAATAGATTCTGCACAAAAATATGTCCAACAAGTCAAACAAATCTCTACTATCTATCTTCAACTCGCGTCTATTGCGATACGTATGTTGTTCTCATTTGTTATTCAAAAACATGTCTGATGGGACCATTGATCTTCCGCAATGCCTTCATTCAAATCTGTGAATAGCAATCAAGCAAATACGTCATCAACTAATGAACTCTTTTTCTCCTGATTAGTTCTAATGTTACACAGAAAACCAATAAAAGCCTAAATTTGAATCTTCATACCTCATCTTTTTGAGGTAGTTGTCCACATAAGTGATGCAAAAATTCCGATGAATGATTCTACAAAAATAAATATAGTTCGTATCAAGATAAACATAATTATTTAACATACCAAAAGTTTCTCAGCGATATGCTTTCTTCGCGTGAAATCATCAACACATCGTTTACAGGCATTCTTATCCTATTATGTTTTTACAAAAAGTAAAATCATGCAATCGCAGAAAGCGAATACTTACATCATTAATTGATAAATTATCTTTCAATGACATTTTCATTTGACATATTCCAAACATTTGACAAAGAATATCTCCATCCTATAAAACATTGCTATTACAAGACATTCTCTCTTAAACTGCCAAAACATACAAAATTATTGACGAGTGTTTTCAAAACATTTGTCGCATCGTTTTCCATTAATGCATAACACTAGCAATATATTGAAATGCAAGAAATCTAAGGTTTCTAAAAAAGAAATTATTTTACCGTAGCTTCGTACGGTCCAAGTTGATCGCAAATATTTTCGCTGAGAAATGCCCGCATTTCATTCTGTAAATATATTAACAAATTCAGCATTCTCTCTTCAATTTAGCTCAACTTACTTTTTGTATTGGACTTGTTTTATCTCTTATTTCATTGTGACAGACTTGAAAATAATTACAAAGTAGCAATGACTTCTAAATAGAAGAATTTGATACATTGTAGTATAAAATCTTTCGTCTCACTGTTCCATTTTTCATCTTTTCGATCAAATTTTCTCCAATATTTTCGATGACAAATTTGCAATTTTGTTTTATTTCGCCATTCCAATTCGAACATAAATGTTGATCGATATAGTGAAGAATTTCGTCCTAATAGAGATCAAATTATTGTTTTAAATTAGACTAATTTTTATTTGCTTACATCAGAATGCTGATCATCAAGCATATATTTAACATTTGTCAAAACGAATGTGCATACTTCACAATGAACAGGTGACGAAAGCTAAAATAAACATAATCAATATTAATAATCTTAAGTACAAATAATCTTACTTCATCGTCAAGAAAATCAATATTTTCACAGACGTTTGACAGTTCCTAATACGCATAAAATGAATTTTTATTCATTAAAATTTCTTTAAATAATTACCCTATTGTTAGTTACATGCCCATAGATATCATTACCATGTCGATCAATTAAATTTTCACACTAATAAAGAATAAAGAAAGCTATTTTTTGTCGAATTTTGTTTTCCTACTTTTTGTTTTAGTTCAGAAGTTGTTAATTTCTGACAATCATTTTTCAGAAATGTTTGAATTTCACTCTGACTTTTCTGTTGATTAACATGAAGATCGTGTGTAGCACGGACAACAACATTGCACAATATTTTTGATTGTTCATCAAACGGTGCTTGTTTGATTTCTCCATTATCAATATGTTCTTCGTCTGGATGAGTTTCAACAGTTTCTTCACGTTGTACAATTGTTGCATCTTTACACATTTGTCCCAAATGACAGATTACACCCGCATCCTAAATTTAATTAGTATTATCGCTAACGGAAAATCGAACTTGTCACACTTACAATATTATTTTCGACTAGAACGAGAATTTCTTTTCCATATTGACTCATCGTTTTTATACACTAAAAGACAACAAGATCAATCTCTTTCGTTTCAATTTCAACTGAGAATTATTCGTTACCTCGTCGATCTTATCTTTCGATGCTAACATTGAACAAGCACCGGACAACCATTTTTCGAGATCAATCTAAACGATGAGCAAAATTTCAATGGTGTTCCGGTTTTATTTTCGTTTTGCGCATACTTCTGTTTTATTTTCGGCTAGAATGCTGCGTAATTTTGTAATAACATATTCACAATATTGGCAAATATTATCATTTTCTTTGTGTTGAATTGCTTGTTGTGACCAAACTTGTTTTGAACAATGATCAATTGAATTACATTGGCGTGTATTACTCAATGATGAACACCAAAAGGATGGACCCCATGTACATTGATGTTGTCCAACGATAATCGGTGATTTTTCAGTAGTTGATCCACTCGTGCAAATACTCATTAAACGACACAATGTCGCAAAACGCTGCAAAAATAAATAAATATTATTTTATTCTCCTCGAATTAATTTTATCTACGTTATTCTTCAATAATGTAACAGCTGATTGTCGATATTTTTCAATGACATTTGTACACTAAAAAAAACTTTCATTGTTAAGAAATTCAAAAGAATATTTTTTAACGAATTACTTTCGATGAAACGTCAGTTGGAAATAATGATTTGCATTCATCTTTCAATGTGGATGCAATCATGTCCTAAGTAGAAAGTAGCTTTTTCTTTGGTGAAATTATCGAATAGAAATTTACTAACTTCATTGCTCGATACTTCTTCTAAGCCTTTTTGAGTATTTTGAAACATTCTTTGACACCATTGACATGTTGAAGATTCATCGACGGACGTATATTTACTATCATGAATCCAAACTGTATCAGTGCAATGTTGTATCGAACCACAATCTTCTGCATTTTCGAATGATTTACACCAATATTCAGGTCCAACAGTGCATTCCGTAGAATAGCTAGCCGTTGAGCCGATTGACAAAGCTTTAAAATAACTAACGAGATGTTTTTATTTGAGAATGCAAGAAATATTTTACCAATCAAATAAGTGACGAATAAGGCTTTCGCCATAGTGCCACTGACAGTAGTTAAATAAAAGCAAAAAAGGGTGTATATAAATATCTAAAATATATCGATAATGTTTAGTTGATTCATATGCAAAAGGAAAAATAAAAATAAAAATCATTATATACAGTGTGTTTGTTGGATTGTCACGGCTGAGATATCGTCGTTACTTATAAACAAGTAAACTGATGATTCAAGCAGAAAAATATGAGTAATATGTAAAAGTACCTTTTGGCTTTTTGTTGATGAAAAATTCTATTCTGAACAAAAGAAACATTTTCCTGGACCAAAAGAGTGAAGAAACATAACAATTTAATTAAGAAAAATTATATCCGCAAAACAAAATATCCAATTGAACGATTTTAGCAAAGAATGAGTCACAATTATTATACAGAACTGATTTTCTCAATACCAACATTAACTCGCAGTATTTCGATTACACATAAAAGTAGAGTAAAAACTTAATTTGAGAGTATTATATTCATGTCTTCATAAACATAGGTGTCCACATACTCATTTGCATTTAGTTTCTGCGACATTTTGTTGTTTCTTTTTGAATGTATAAAAAAGGGAAAGAAAAAAAAGTAACGATCACGAGTTGTAACACATTGGCAATGCAATAAATAAGAATACAGCGCTCCTATCGAACCAAACCGACGGGGTGTCTTTTTAATACGAACAGAAAAGAAAATTGCGCATCAGAAAAAGGAAACGTTTTTTCTTCACGATGAACTCGAAACAGTAGGTTACTAAATAGATTAATATCAAATATTAAAATTCTTATTTCAAATCGTGCGTGATTCTTGATCGTCTTGATTTTTGAAGGAATTCGGAGATTTATGTTTCCCAAAACAAAACAAAAAACTTTCATCTAATTAAATAATTTGCTGCATTCAAATTAATCCCCTATAATATTATTTTTTGTTAATTATTGAAATTGATACATATTGAATATTTGATTTAAAGAAAAAAAAATCCCTATTTTCAATAAAGTTCGTCGTGATCGTTTTATTTTATTAAATGTTTTCGTAGAAAAAGAAATCAAGGCAACATATTCGAGCCGATGATGATCGAATACAATTGTGAATTCTTTGAAGTATTTGGCATTTATTTCATTGAACTCGTAGACCATTTTATTTTATCTAGATGTAAATTTTTACAGGCGACAAAAATAGAAGCTCACAAATTCAATATCTAGTTTTTATGAAATTAACATTCACATGGCAAAGGAATATGAGCAACACTCTTTTTTTCAATACGAACAGAATTATCTGACAAAATGTGTTTGTGTGAATCATTGGAATTTCACCTATTTAAGATGCACTGGTATGAACAAATAAAATATTAGCAATGTTATAACAAAATATCCAATGATTGAAATCAATGCAAGTAGTCGAATTTGTTTTTCTCCATTCGAAATTCTAGTCGTAACAAATCCTGGCATATTACATAGATACATAGCCACTAAAGTGCCCATTACAGCGCCACCAATATGTGCTGCATGATCAGCATGACCTGTTGAATCGACATAAAAAAATAGACTCAAAATAAAATAGGGAATAACTAGCAGCATGATAAAAAATTGTATGATTTTGTCGTGAATGTTAGTAATAGTAAACAAGCGTAAAGTATTGTCTATAATACAGAGAAATAGAAGGCCATAAACAGCACCTGATGCCCCCACTGATACTAACAAAGAAAAATGTATGATTTAGTAAGCAAAAACAAAACTTTTTGTTGATTAACATACTAGTCTTTGGGTTGCACAATGAACTCATAATATTTGCACTAAATCCAAATAATATATAAGAGATTCCTAATGTTATTTTACCATATTTTCCTTCTAAGAGTGTTCCAGCTAAAACTTGATAAATAAGATTACTTAAGAGATGTGTTATGTCACCATGCAAAAATATCGGTGTAAAAAAACGAAAGAATTGATAAGGAAAAAGAAATGATTGGCATTGTGATTTAAGCTTAATATTAAATATTTCTTGTTCAGTTTTTGAATACAATGGTTTCATACAAGGCACATATTTACAACCCATTTTAATCCATGTTTCAGACGTTATGACTGTTCCTTCTTCAGCGATATACAGAGCTATAAGCATAAATATGTTAAACATTCCAATTGTCATGGTAAATACGGGAAAATGTGGTTCAAGTGATAGTGTTTTTATATGAATCGTATCTTTTTGTGGATCGATTTTGACTAGTGTATCATCAGCAAGATTATGCTTCTCTAATAAAACCGGTGAATCCAAATGACTCGTGTCAACCAATGATACGATCTGGTTTGGTGGCAAACGAAAACTATCTTTAATTTTTGTCCAAATTGTTTTATTGAACGTCAGCATTGAACTGTTTTCTTTCTAAAAAAAATAGAGATGCAATCAATCCTGTACGTTTATCAATTGTTCGCTAACGTTGTTATGATCGTTGATATTTGCCTTCATACATAAATGCGTTCTTGCCTAAAGTAACTAATTCGATTATGTCAAATCTATACCAAGTTCTCATTCTAATTTATATTTGAAAACGAGGGTCACATTTTGTCCAAGGTAACTTTTTTTTTCTTTTCTTGAAATGTCGCCTGACTGTGGATTACTATTATTTGACTTTAAATCTCTAAAATGAATTCTAATTCTTGTTATTTCTATTACTTATACTTAGGAGTTTAAATCTAGTGAGATGGTGAATAAGAAAAAAATTATACTCTGTCTAATCTTAATGGCAACAGCAGCTCTCAGAATCTAATCACGAAAAGCGCAATATGTCAAGTTAACTGACGCATGAAGGAGACGAGCGCTCGGTCGGCATAGTTAAAATGATCACCTCATATCTACCATTTTATACAACACTTGTTATGAAGCAAAAAAACATGATCATTCTATTGACATATAAAAATCTGACTTCTCATTGTTGTTTCTCAAAAGTTCTCATAATACAAATAAAATAGCACTAATGTGTTTTTTCTTTCGATAGCCATTACTCGGGGAGAGTAAATAGACCGTTTATTTTTGTCTATCGATTATAGGTAAGCATACGAAAAACGTGAGATAGAAAATGGAGTCATTCAATACAGATAGGAAAGAAAAACGCACATTTTCTATTTAAGACACTCAACTATTGGCATGTATGAAAAAAATATACACACATTCATGCTCAAATGACAAATAAATGGAACGTTAAAATTCATTATAAAGTATAGTCGTTAGATGATAAACTAATAATTTTCGCATAATACAAAAAAAATACCAGCATTCATCAGATGACAAATGACATTTCGTTTCTCTCTCGCTCCTGCATACAAAGCAAACACCTACGCACAGACACACACATACACATTAGAATAATCTGCGTTTAAGACATGAAAAGAAACTAGACTACAATAACTTAACTATACATTTATATTTTATACAAGCAAGAATTCTGACTGCAAAATATATCATAAAAGACGTCGTTATATAAAATAGATTGGTCATAAATTAATCTATTTTTATCTTCATGAAGATAAGAAAAAAAAAGGATTAAATTGAATTCCCTAACAACCTAAAATAATATATTTTTAATTCAATGTCAATACATCATGGCGTCTCTTGCGACTTATGTCGAAAAATAAACTTTTCTGATCGTCGCTATAAATGTTTAATATGCAATGATTTTGATTTATGTTCAGTTTGTTATGATAAAAAACAAAATCTAACAGCAATTCAAACACATTCTATTAATCACTCCATGCAAATTATTATAGCAAAGCATGATTTCGAGCATATTTATTTTGGATTTAAACATAGCCAGTATTCTCTCCTACTATCACTAACATGTCCTTATTGTAATCAGAATGGTTTTACATTAAATCTTTTAAATCAACATATACTAGATCGGCACAATATATCACTTTATTCTGTCTTATGTCCTATTTGTTTCATTCGGCAAAATAATCTTTGTCAACATTTAGATCAACATTTAGATGAAAATATTAATTTAAAAAATAAAACACTTAAACCTTTAAATTTAAATGAAAAGCAAGTCAAATCTACTCAAGAACCTTTATTAGAAAAATTGATGAGTAATAACTATCGGAATAGAAATGAAAATGAACAACGAAATCTATTTGTTTATTCTTTACTTACGGATATATTAGGCCAATAAAGATATACACGTATAATGCATGGAAATAAGATTACAGTTCACATTCAACTTCAAGAGAAGAATTTCTTATTTGATAATTTGAGTAAGCGTGGTATTGATCATTTCTTTTTCATTCTAGAATGAAAGAGAAAAAAAATATAAGATAAAATAGCAAGTGTCTGGCTAGTTATAATGTGTCCTTGATTGTTATTCGAAGAAATTTCGCTTGAAAAAATGTTGCGCTGCTTCATCAACACAAACATTATTTCACGACCTCGATAGAATTCGTTTGACACTATGACAACTCCCTCCGTCTACTGGTCACATTTTGTCAACAAACTTTTTCTTTCTGTGACAGTCCCGAATCTCTTACATAGATACAATACAGAACAACACACGCTCAATTGTTTAGTCAGATATTGTTTATTTATACTTTTTGATAGCGTCATGTGTTTTAAATTAGCAATTTAAATACTTGATGGATAAAAATATAATGCGTCTGAGAGCCGAGCAGTTTTCAACGAAACAGCAAGGAAATAGAAACGCAAAGTTTTTGATTGAAATATTTCTCTTGTCGACTTGAATTAGTCAACGAAAGAAGAAGGTTAAATCAAAACATTTTCTACCATATAATCACTTCAATGTTGAAATCTCTGTGGACATCAACATTCGATAGTGATAAATTGTAGCTGTTCGAGTCGCGAATCTTAACAGTTTTATTGGTACCACTAAATAGTGATTTTTCAGACTGTACTCGATAATCGTAATTCAACTTGAAGACATCGAGTATCTTCGGAGAGCGTTTATAACTTGGAAAAGAAGTAAAATAAAATTCGCAATCTATGATTGATCGGCCCCAACACATTTTTTTCTTCTACCGAACGTTCATACCGGAATAGGAAAAATCGAAGATCTCTATCTACCTCGAATCGAAATTTGTTTGAAAAAATTGTTTTTATTTCACTATGAGATGCACTGTTGTCTATCCTTCTATTTCGTAAAATAAGAAATGAATAAAAACAAAACAGAATAATTTTAGTCATTGCATCGTCACAATATTTCAAAGCCGCCATATTGATTTCTTAATACGAGGTTTTTATATTGACATACTCCTACTGACAATAAAATTCAAGTCAATTAACATAAATACATTCTTATTTTCAAGTGTAACTGTGACGGAATTTAGGCGATAGTAGTTTAAAAAAAGTGTAATTCCTAAACTTTGATACATAACTAATGATGAAAATGAATAAGACTTTACTTATAATTGATGAATGTTTTACAAAAACGAAATTTGGCACATTTATATTCGATCGAACTTGATGAAAACGTAAATATTTTCTTCAAGAAGCGATACGATCGCAAACTGATCATTCGTTTTTTGCATCTGGACTCAATGTACTGCACTTGAAACCATTTAAATAGATATAGAAATACGTAAATACTGCTACGTTGTTTTTATTTTTATTCTATCAACTTCTTATCAAATGGAAAACCTACATAAGGCGAATAATCTGAGTCACGTAATTTTTTTTTTCAATAATGCTAATTCCCCGTTGTGCTAAAATCAACATTTGAAAATGTTTATTTCATTTTTAATAAACTAACCATTTTAGTTCTTTTAATTCTTTTTTGAAGCTATGCAAATAACAAGCTGTAGCACTTTTGACATCGACAGTTTTTCATTAATGTCAGATGTAAAAAATTCTATCAGTTGTTCAAAGAAGCAGGCTTTGACTTGAGTAGTACGAAAAATTTGTTTCTCTATAGAATTGAAACAAAATCGTTTTGTAGATTTTTAGATAGAAAAGAAAAAGAATTCACGTTTCAAATAAAAACATATACTTACTACTCAAATAAATGCAATGTCGATCACCGAACCACCATTGTTCAAACTAAATCTGAAAAGAAGTTAACAAATACTATTTTGAAAAGCTATGGAAGCTAAGACCTTAAACATCAATTATAGAGCTTTTTTCCGGTACTAGTATTGAAGCATTGTGTGCTCCTGAAAATTCATTTTTCGATATATTTTATTTTGATAACTAGTAGCATTTCAATAGCTGTGTCACGAATTTTATATTGTTGTTTAAAATTACTGTGAGCTGAAACATATGTTTACTCACGCTGTCGATTGGATTACAAGCTTATAAAGATGTCGCGATATAATCACGCATAAACTAAAAGTAGGGGTAAAGTTACAGATAATATTCTCCTGGAACAATTTTTCTTAACTTAAGTTTCTACTGACATGCTATTCTTGGTATTTCACAAAACTAACACTAGAAGCAGCAACAATCGATTAAAAGCTGATAAAGTTAATTGAAAAAAAAACAGAAGAATAGTTTAGCACAAAAAACACCTTAAGATAAGCAGACACATAGAATAACAATCCTACATTGCAGGTACCAATATAGATTTGAGTTCGGGTCAAAAAACATCAATATGTCGATTTTTCATCTACTTGTCAAATTTTTTGTTTCGTGACCTTTAAGCGATGATCGAATACATTGATAGTAAGGTAATCTGAATAATAGTCCTTTAGAAAATATAGCAGCTTTGGTTATTGAATTAAAACGAAGCAAACAATGAATAATTCTTTCTGATTTTTTTGGCCAATCCCAGGTCGAACATTTCGGCCACCGAATCCCGTTGGATACGTCAGGAAATATGCGGAAAGTCACCATATCCTACCGGAAAACACTGCAAATCGCTGGGAACTCACAGGAAAATTTCCGGCCTGAATACTGCTTCCTCGTTCCAGTGATTTCCGCCGTACGAATTCGACCTGGGGCATGTACTTTTTTCGAAGTAAAATATTTAACAGGTAATCTGATTTATCTTATCTTTTTAAATAATTTTATCAAAGGATTTAATGAATAAATAATTATCCATACAATTTATTTAGTAGAAATATGATAAAAGCTATTAATCATATAATTTAAACAGTAGTATTTTTCAACCAGTTAAAAGGGCATTGGACAACTGAGAACTATTGCGATTTGTCTCGTTAATATTCGTAGAAGCTCGAGGGAAATATGAAATATATGCTTTACACTTAGTTAAATTTGTGTCTATCTTAACATCATCTTAACATTCTTAAAACGTCTAACGAAGTTTAGATAAATAAAATATATGTAAACCGACAATTTTGATAATGCGGTCAAGTCTTCTAGAGATTTTGTTTTTGGAGTAAAATCCAATCTGATAAGTAAGAAATGAACGCGTGCAAGCGTGATCGGACTTCATGGGGTATTTGAATTTGCGGCAAATTCAAAATGCTTATACCACTATAATGTTATAGTGTTATAACGGTAGCTAGATGTCACGTATCCCTTACAGAGGCAGAGAGACAGGGGAAAAGGCACACCCACACCCACACTAGGTACCCCATCGTATGGTATAGTAGAATAGCGGTATACCGCTATACCACTACAGTTTTTATTTTGTCACAAATAGATATGATTTTAATGAATTCGATTTTGCCGCAAATTCATATTCCCCATCATATGCGTGATCGGAAATATGATAGCGTCTAAACGCTACTGAAAGCATATCTGACGCGGAATTGAACGCAGCTAATAAATAAGATACATTCAAACGCGTTAAATATTTTTCGGATAGGTGTTGAGACGCAGTTCACTTGTTTTCTAATCGCTTTTAAATGTGTTGTATAGAAAAACTGCGTCCAAACGCGTTGGAAAATATTTTTAACTGCATGTTAAAGCGTTTCGTATCAAACAGCGTTTGACTGCATCTCAACCCGTTTTATTGCTAAACTGCGTTTCAACGCATCAACTTTGCATTTCGTGTTTACATGGATATTCGATAGGATTTACATTGATCGGTCAACAGAAAGCAAATCAATAGGCATTTAAGCGAGAGTATACCACAGTTAGTTTCAACAATGTTTATTGTCAACAATGTATTTGATACAGCGTCAAGAGTGATCAGTTCCACAATGATTTTGTATTGATGACTCGTTCGATTAGCATAATATAGCCTTTGCATGATTAACTGATCAATGTTAAGTGCGAATACTAATAATTAGTAAACACAGACACTAGAGAATTAGCAGTAACATGATAAGAAATGTTCGCAACATGCATTTCATTACCGAAGAAAAACAACAGTATAATTTTGATGAAGCGAAAGGACTTACTTCAAAAGTAAAAGTTTTCAGCAGAAAAAAAAACGTTGCGTCGAGAGGACAATCTAGATCGTTATCTTTCGAGTATTACGTATGGAACGATAAGTATATAAAATTAGCCTGTAGAAGAAGCCTAATTTCCTCACAATAATTGTTATAAAAGTTAGACCTATTTAATAATTAATATTTTAGAAAAAACACGCACCACATGCTCTGCTATATAGGTACTCAATGGATAGATTATTATCAAATGAAAACTACTTGTTGAAATGCCTGTGTCTTTGTCTTTTATCTCATTTTTGAATAATTTACTCTGACAAAAACCATCGAGGTAGATGTCAGTATGATACGTATGCGTAAGATTGAAAAAAATGTCTATTATCGGTGCAGATAAAACAGTTTTCTCTTTCAACTTTCAATATAGTTATATAATACAGAAACTAAACATAAAAACAGATGACAAACATCTGTTGGATATGCATATTTAAGTGATATTAATTTTTTGATTAAATGATTGTTAAACTTCGATTTTTTCTCCTCAAGCTTTGTCACACATACTTTTTTCTGATAAGGAAACACTTAATCTTGAAAAATTTATATTTTTTTCTCATAAGTCAATCAAACGACTCTATTCGCTTTCGGTACATCTAATTATTGAAAATTACTAGTGAAAATTTAAATAAAATCTCTTCGTAGAGACTCAACATATATTTTGGTCATAAACGAGCTGCTCATATTGATTAATAATCAATCGATCTCTATATTAAAATTCAAAGTTTAATACAAAAAAAAAGGAACAAAACATTTATCAAGTACTCTATACAAATTTTAGATAAAAAAGATAAAAAAATTCAATGAGAATAAAATGGCAGAATATGATACTTGAAATGTATGAGCATGACTAACACCTAAAAAACGATTTCGTTTTGTACAAAAAGTTCCATTACAACATCCGATTGTATTTGTCGGTGAACAAAGATAACCATATTGACTTATGCATGCATTTGTACATTGTTCAGCGCTAGCACACGTTATTGATGCATAATAAACTCCTGAGCCACATTGACATTGACATGTCGGGAAAAAAGGTGCGCAGTCAGTTCCACAACAACCACGAACATTCGCTACATTACATTGTGGAACTGATTGTAAACATGTTCGAACACATTGTTCAGCAGAACCGCAGGACATGGGTAATGTCATAATGGTATTTGCACCGCACATACAAGTACATGATGGGAATCCATTGATACAATCATTACCGCAACATGCTTGTGTATTATCTTGTTTACATGCACCGTAAGAACTCATACATGTTTCTACACATGATCGACTACTTCGACATGGAACCGAAGTCATCGTTCTAAATTCTGGACCACAACTACATGAACATGTTGGAATATATGCTGTACATGCCGCACCACAACAACCTTCAGTTTCACTATAAGTACAATCGCCATAAGTCTAAATAAAAATAAAAATAAACGACAATTATTAACTACAGAAAATTTTTCTTACCGTCATACAGGTACTAACGCATTCTTCAGGATTCATACATTTCGGCGATGGATAATAAGTATTTCCTTGACAACGGCAAGCACACAAGTTAGCAACTGTTTGTGAATAGGATTTACAATCTTGTCCACAACAGGCTTGTGTTGCTATTGGTATACAGATTTGAGGGAAATGTGCTAAACATTTTGTTAGACATGCTTGCGATGATGTGCATTGATCAACTGGATTCAAATATTGCTGACCAGCACAATTACATAAACAATAACGATTATCAAGAGATTCACTTTGAAAATACCGACACGATGAACCACAACAACCGTACGTATTTATAAGTGTACAATGTCCTGGATACATTTGTAAACAATAAGATACACATGATTGAGCACCCATACATGTTATTGGTGGTGCAAATGACATGTAACCACACGAACATCGACATGAACTCGGCCGGTTTGGAGCGAAATTGTCTTGATAGAGTGGAACATTGGGCATATTGCCTCCCATATAATCGGGATTGAATGCATAGTAGGGATCAACAAGAGTAATGCCAAGGCCTTGACGTGGTTGCGATCGTTTTGAATCGATATTGCTTGTTTGAGCCGATTCTATTCCTTCTATAACAAAATATATATTTTAAAAAAATCGTCTCAATCGAGTTATAAAATTTTGCACCTGTAGAAGAAATCACATATAGTATTATCACTATCACAATAATATATGAAATCATTGTTGTTCATCAGTTGATTATAAAATCGGTACTGTCCTTGTAGAAAACATGTTGAAAGGCTCTAAAACTTCTCGTTCTTTTTCTTTCTTCGCCTTCTTTTCTGTTCTTTTTTCTATAACCGCTTGCACAAGCTTGTCAAATAGAAAAAAAAGTTGGAGGACACCGTCATCATTTCACATAATGTCTTGTTGCTCGTTACACATACAGAATGATAAAATTGAAAAAAAGACTGTAACCTCGCAAGAAAAAAAAACGGGTCATACTCACATTATATAAGAACGAAAGGAAAAAAAGAGAGTACACCATAAGGTAAAAAAAACTTATTGAACACAGAGTTAACATTTTAACAGCGAATTCGTAGAGGTCGTATAAAATAGAAGAATTCTGAGTAATGTAACACACCAAACATACGCGAACGAAAAAAATGCATAGCCATAAAGATCGATTTATTTAATTCAATAGAGATCGATTACACGGAACAAAAATTTTTTTCATCAAGGAGATTCCACATAAATTGATATTAATGTCGAGAGATATGATGGATTTATTCACAAGTTATTTTATTACTCAATTTTCTCAGAAGAGTTTTTCTCTTGTAAATAGAAAAGATTTTTACTGGATTTTATCGGTGATGTTTACATTATTTGACAACATGGAAACGAACGTTTCTTACTGTCGCTACTATTTATTTTAGTTACTTGTGCATTAAGATCCGATTGCAGACAACCTTTCTGTTCATTCATAAGAGACCGAAAACATGACAGCTCTATCAATGACAAACAGTGTCCTGTTTTCCGAAGTGAATCTTCTTGAAGAAGACTCGTGATTACTTTTCCGTCGCCATTTCTTATAAAATCATTGAGATACAGCAAACCTAAACCGTTACAATCAATTAGAAGGCGAGACATTTGAACAAGATTATGCTGAATGAGCCACTGTTGTGTTTGTGCTTGTGTCCAATCGGAAATCTTTTCCGGAAGTATTGGTGAGAGGACTAGGTTAGACGAAGACATCTCGACAGCAAGCGGTATAACCAGTGTGTCTTGCTTGAGTTGAACATTGGCTGTATTGACATTAACGATTTCCGTAGCTTTCAGTTCTTTAAATAACATTTCCATTGCACGTGCAAATTCATATTTATTAAAATCGACATAGAGTAATTGACCAATAATAAACAAGAGCCATCCATCAGGTTTATATTGTTTCTGTAGAAGAATCGGAACTATTTTCCGTTCACATTGAAATGCATATTGTGCTTCAGCTCGACAATAATTACTTTTTCGATACTGTTCACTCATACACATAATAACTGTATTCGACTGTTCAATGGCTTGTGCCATCGCATCCAT